GCCATAAAAAAAGAGATAATAGATAAGGGGATAACTTAAATGCGTTAATGCGATATCAAAAAGAGTTAATGGATAAAGGGCCAACTTATATGCATAATATGCCATATATATGTATACAACTCACAACGAGTTCCGCATTGACTTGATTAAACAGCATATTTTGCGTATTTTGCGTATTCTACCGTCATAAAAAAAGAGATAATAGATAAGGGGATAACTTAAATGCGTTAATGCGTAATAACGACTCCAGCTGTTGTGGTGATTTTACGTGGAAAGGAATTCTAAGAAATATTTTATCAGGATTGACAGGAACTGGTTCACCAATTATGTTGTACCTACAGTTTACAGCTAGCAGTAGTATGACTCAGTTTTGTTTTAACGTTAAAGTCATTGTTAATATATTTATATATTTATAGTCCAAGAATTACTAGTTAGACTCGTCGCGAAGCTTGCAGCTTGAGTTAAAAGCATTATATTGGTACATGATCTAACTACTAAAAATTGAAGATCTTTGATAATCGATTGTGGCTTAAGTGCCTTACCGAATTTGACGTTTAATAAGTCATTCGAGGCAAATGTAGTGCTGTTTAAGTTTTCTTATGCAGCGTTTTATAACTTCTAAGCAAAAAACTAACAAAGTGCACACATTTTATGTTTTTTGTCTCCCAAAAGTTTTTATTTGAGATACCCAAAGTGGTTTAAAATCATTTCCAGCTTAACATGATTTTTTATGAGGCAAATTTTTTTTGTCTATAGCCTATAGGCTAGTAAATTTTAAACATTAAAAATACTTACAATTTCATGAATACTTATTTATATTGTTATCTAAAGTATGTGTTTATTTAAATTTGTATACTTAATATAGTTTTTATACAAAATCAAAAATATTGGTTATTCGCAAATGCACCCCTAAATCCAAGATGGCGGAAAAGCTACAAGGGGTTGATGGTCGAAAACTTAGCTTCCTATATGATACACTAACTATCGCAAAAAATAAATTTTAGTTACCGAATGAATTAAAATAATAAAACCTAAATATACTGGACTAAACGGTATTGGTATATATATAGCTAACAAAATAGGAGTACATATATGTACTCCTATTTTGTTAGCTTATTTAGGTTAATTAACCAAAATAAACAAACAAAATATTAAAAAACTAATAAAAAATATTTCCGAAGCTAACACAAGCAAGTACGTGTCATAACACGACCACACTTTGACCTATTTGGAGGTCATAACTTATTTCATCCCATTCTATGTTTAGCAGTTTCTGGGGTGCTGGAGGTGGGGCTGTTGTATTGGGAATGAGATCATTTTAATGGCCTTCCATACCCACTGCTGTGGATCAAGAAAGTTATTTCTCCAAAGCTGCACCTATAAATACACTTTTAGAAAGTGAGCAGCTGCTTTAGTTGGAGGCAAACATGTCAAATTAAAGTTGTTTTTCGACAGTGCCTTCTGGATTAGTTGGAAGCGAATGTCGTTCAAAGCTTTGTTATTGTTCACAGTTTTTGAAGGCTGGAGTAGTTTTGAAATGTGTTCACAAATTTTGTTTATCCCTGCCTACTGTCATATTTCAAAATTCCATTCCAGCGTATGTAGACACTTTATCCGGAATCTACGTTAATAAAAGAGATAATAAGGCGAATTAAAACAGAAATTGTTCAGAAAAGGGTTATAGTTGAATTACAATTTACATGTGACGTTTTTTAGCAACAAGAGTGGATGCATCCACTTTTGTTGCTGATGCACATCACAGCGTGTCACAAATTTCAGATAAAAAACGTTATTATGTTTAAATTAATAATAAAAATTATGCTAAAAACGTTATTATGCTGTTATTAATAATTAATTTAAGCATAAATTATTATGCTTAAATTAAGAATAAAAATCTCTACTAAGGAATCGTTACTGAAAAAGTCAAACCACGATTCAAAAACAGAACCATAAAAATCAGATCAGTGGTTCACGAAATAATCAACATTGTGGTAAATTTCTGGTGGCCGTTTTTTTTTTCCGGTGAACAACTGTTCCAAGATTGGTTAAAATCGCTGATGTTGAGGCAGATATGTGGCAGGTTTGGCGTGTTGTCTGGGTTATGTTTGTTATGTGTAAATAGGCAAAACCTACTTAATAATAAAGACAGTTTATTAAACAATGTTATAGATAAATTTGGTCAAGATTGTAGGAGGTTACAGTTTTTATTTAGTGAATAAGTTCTTGTTTATGTTTTTTTTTATTAAATTTGTATATTTTTTTGTATTTTTACTTTTAACTGACTTAAACTTGAAGTTTGACCCCTCCTATATTTTATTCTAGCGGCGGCCCTACAAGTTGTATTTTGAATACTTATTATAATATAAGTTTTAATTTGTCTTTTGCTTTTATTACAAAATAGGTAGTATTTATTTATACACTTTGACTTTGAAAATCGGGCAAACAATATTTAAGATATTTAAAAAGTACGTTTTTTAATGTTTAACACCTCTGAAAACTGACCAGTTCTGGATCTATGTTTATTTGAACTTTTTCTCTTATTTTTGGATGACAAATCTCCAGCCGAGTATGGGCGCATGTTTTTTTTAAACACCCTGTTAAGTAATTTTTCCTTTTTGTCTGTAAAAACAATTTATTATATGTAGTTTATTTTATTTTATAGTTAAAACAAATCACACATTTTGAACTTGAAAAGAATTTTTCACTTCTTTTCTACTAACGAAAAGATTTTTTTAATGAATATGCTTTTGTTATTCCATAAATCATAAAAACAAATTTAAATTAAATTAAAAATTCGAAGTGGAACTAATACCGTAAACACGGGTGGCTTTAGCTCACTTTTAAACTTAAGCTTAAAATTTTTGTGGTTTTAACAATCATAAACATTAAATTTTGTATACCAAAATTTGAGTTGCTCTTTCATAATAACTATGTTATAATATTACATAGGGCTGAGTTTCAAAAATAAAAATTAAAAACTGGGTGTGCAAAGTTACCCCCTGGTTGCGGGTTACTTTGTCTCACAGTGTATTTTCCGTATAAAATGAATTCAATATTATATTTTATTTTTATTAGACACGTGTTAGCAGCGACATATATCTATTGCAAGCACAGACTCTGTGATTGCAAGGGATTACCGATAAAAAAAAAATAAAAAATCGACCTGTAGTTAACTAAGGATCATCATTTCAAAGGATTGCGCATAATACATATAGAAATTGTAACGCGTGTAAGAGTTTTGCACTAATGCGATATATACAATTTTAAAGTGTAATAAATCCCATTTCTTTTTTTAAAACACTGATTTTCCTGTAATATAAACTCAATAGAATCGCTCAATTGACAGGTTTAGACCAACAAATTATAAATGTTAATTTTATCGAGCGCGAAAAGATTTTTCATAAATGGGTTAGTCACCCGCGGGGTGCAAAGTCACCCGTGTTTACGGTAATCATTTCATGAAAAAACATTAAGAATGCTTGATATGATTTTAAGTGCCTCATAAAAATAACAAAAAATTAAAAAGAAACATACAAATTCTTATATGGTTTTAGTTATAGTTTTTAATGGTTTTCCTTTTTTATTAAAATTTTAATAACAATTATTGTCATTTTTAATAATAATAATAATAATAATACAAATGTCATTTTCATTTTTAATTTCTCGTATAATATATGAGTTTAGGTATAATAGCTATTTACATACCATGGGAGGAAAATAGTGCTTTTCCTCCCGCGAATAGTTTGATGCCCGACGCGAAGCGAAGGGCATTAAATATTCAAGGGAGGAAACGCATTTTCCTATAGTTTATTTAAACGCATTTTCCTAGTTTTTTCTGTTACCTTTTAACGGTTTTAAGACATTTTAAGCGTTCCGGTTCCTTTTACTAACCCGGTATAGGGCTATAAAATTATGAAAAAATATGTTATGTTATGTTGACAACGCTTTGTTGCTAGGGTATTTTTGGTAATACAAACATAACAGTTTTTATAAGCTGTCAGAATGTTTATCATAAATTTGAAATTCTTCCTACGTTTTGAAAATGAGTTCTAGCGAAGAAGACCAGCCGCAAGATCTTGCTAAAGAGGCAAGAATAGTTGCAATTAATTTCCTTTCTTAAAAATTGAAAGAGCGATATGAAAATGAATACCTATAGTTTGTTAAAAGAATGGTTGGACAAGCGCGGAGTAAATCTTTTTCCTACAAAATGAAATAGGACTAGACAAGGTAGAAAAACTCTTGCTAATGTAAAATTGTTAAAAAAAAGAGGGATGAAAATTAAGTTTTCTAGTAAGGTAGTAGAAAAAATTATTAATATTAATGAAGGATTTTTTTACCCACACATAGTATCGTATCTAATTATAATTAAAATTAAAGTGACTAATTTAATTCAGAAAAATTCTTTAGTCCCAAAATAAACCTAAATAGAAATGTTTGTGGTCAACGTGGTTGGTATTTATTAACATCCTGCCTACTTATGACAGTATGTTAACACAGCAAAATATTTTAAAAAAATTAAAAACTTTTACATATCTTGTAACTCTAAAAATGGTCAAAATTAACCCACTCCCCCCTCCTTCGTGACAGAATGTTACGATGTAAAGACATGTTACAAATTATCGAACTCCCCTACCCCTTAAAAATATTTATTTCGATTCATTTTGTAATAATGACGTTTTAATAGCCTCCCTTGCGGGGCGTCACTGGATTTATGGTCCAAAGATTATGTTTTAGGATCAATTTTTAAAACAGCTTCAAGTGCTCTCATTGCTTTCAGTATATTGCAAATGATTTACACACATAATTTGAAAGATACATTTCCAAATATATATTTGCATATATTGTAGTCACCCCACTGTAAGTTGTGAGAAAAGTTTTAGTAAATTAAAATTAATTTTTTTACAAATTGTTTAATGAATTTGTGGGTAATAAGAGATTAAAACCACATTTGAGGTTAGTATAAGTTCCTACATACATATATAAGTTATTTCTCCGCAGGCCAAACATCATTTTATTAGTTATCGACAATTTTCTGTGTTCCGTACAATTTTTAATTGGCGTGAAAATGTTTCAGTGGACGGTTTTCTGCATTAATATTATTATTGTTCTTTTGAGCACAGGTACGTAAAAAAATAAAAATAATTTATTATTGGCCTTATAAATAATTGCATTCATATATTAATTTAAAAATTGTATTAAAATAAAATTACAAAAAGGTTTCTTTTTTTGTCTGTAGATACAATTAATTACATATAGTTTATTTTATTTTATTTTTAACCCTCAAAAAAAGTTATCACTACTAACGAAAAGATTTTTTTAATACTACTAACAAAAAGATTTTTTTAATGAATATGCTATTTTTATTCTATACTCTCTAAAAATTAATCAGTCAAAAATGACCAAGTAATAGTGTTCCTTATACCATGGTATACTATGGGATAGCATCCCTGCTTAAAATACCCCATAGAGACCCTGTTCAAACCGATAGATATTTGTATCGGAATGTATAGTGTTTCTATAGGGTGTATCGGTAGTTGGGATTTATGGTTGTTCTATAGGGATATCCACCCTTGATTTATTTGCTATTGGTTTCAATGGGGAAAATACACATAAATGTAGAAATGAGTTTTTCCCTCATAGGACCTCATAGGTTTTAATAAAATTTTGTCAAATGTTTTATGGTTGCTCAATAGGGATTTCCCTAGATATCCTTCATTGAGTTATTTGCTATCGGTCTCAATAGGGAAAATGTGAAAGTTATGGTGTGCCTATAGGTAATTTCCTATACATTTTCTATCGGGCCGTATCCGGAAAAAACCATGGACAAATGCACATATTGAATCCGGTAGAGCCCGATAGATTATTTTGTATAGGTAGGTCTCTATAGGGTATTTTAAGCATGGATGGTATTCCTGACATAATAGCCAATTCTTATGTAAAATTGTCCCCTGGATTCGAAAATACTTCCATATTATATGGAAAATTCACTATATGGGACAAAATTCAGTAATAGTAACTTAAATATGAAGTTGTCTTTAATATTAACTCTTTTAAATATTCAGTTACCTACTAATAGCTTCCATAAATATCGTGTTTTAAAAATCTGATGTATTAACCCAAAAAACGTAACCACGGTCCCTTGTCTCCCGCCGCCTTTTTTAACAATACATGGCCAGTTATGACCAGGGGAGGAGGGTCATCAAAATGTGACGGCCGAAAGATGTCTTGAAGACGTTTGAAAAATTTATCTTTTATCGAGGGGTAAACCTAAGGTGACCAACTTTCTTAAATGAAAAACCAGGACATATATGTTATATATGGTATATCATGTCAATTTCTTACTTTACATTCATGTTTTGCCTTGCCAATGAAAAGATTCATTTTCTAAGCAACTATGCCATTACGAAATGAGACTTTTACATAGTGGTCGTAAAAAAAATCCTTACCAATAACAAATTTCTCTTAGCGACGAGTTACGCATGACTAGCCTAATTAGCTTAATTTTCATGTATCCGTTTGCCTCTTAAACCGTTCATCCGGGAACGCTCTTTTTGGTCCAATTATAATTCGAAAATTATGACATTTTATCGGTCCGTCAAGTTTCAACTTCGTACGACTGACAGAGAAAGTTAAAATAATTTTTCTTGCTACCCGGCAGAAAATACGTTGTTTCGTCCCCGATTTCACGGCAGAAAGTTTACGTTTTATGCATTGGTCAAGGCTATACGTATTTTCGGCCGAGGTAGTAAGAAAAGTTTCATTTCCTCCCGCTACCATGACAACGCTACAGTGTGATTGATTTTGAATGTAAACGTCAGAATTAAATTAAACGTCAGATTTTAATTTTGACATAATTTTTTTTATACACATTTAATTTTTTCCCGTATTTTCTGCCGGGTAGCAAGAAAAATAGTATACACTACACGGGCAGAAAGTGTGGGAGCCCTGAACTGCGCGCCATGATCATGGCGCGCAGTGCAGGAATCTCACACTTTCTGCCCTTGTAGTGTAATATACTATTTCTTACTACCTCGACTCAAAATACGTTGTTTCGTTCCCGATTCCACGGCAGAAAGTTTACGTTTTATGCATTAGTCAAGCTATACGCGCAGGCCCGGCTCCAGACATTTTGGTACCCCGTGCAAAAATATTTTTGCCGCCCTCATAGTTACCTACTTTTTAGTGCCCATTAATTAGGTACAATTTCTAAAAAAAAACTACATAAATAATATCGTCCCCTTGATGCTACAATTGGATATCTGAAAAAACACATTTGTAAATAAAATATTCTAAAATTGGTATGTAAGTATTTAGTAGAACTGGATTCATAAAATTTCGAGTTATCCAGTTGTAGCATTAAGGGGAAGATAAAATTAACAAAAAAGTTTAAAAAATTATTATTTAATAACAAATAAATAAAATATTATCGCATTCTAAAAAAACAGTAATATATTCTAATAATAATTATTTTATCTAACATTATAAAACTAACCAGTAGTAAAAACAAGAAAAATCTGTTTAAATTAAAATTAAACTGGAAATATCTAATTTAGAACCTATATAGTATTGTATTGAATAACTTTTTCCCACCTTTCGATTTTTGCCACCTTTCGATTTTTGCCGCCCTTCGAATTTTGCCGCCTCGTGCAGGGGCACGGCTGCACGTACCCTGGAGCCGGCCCTGTATACGCGCACACTCTAATAGCGGGAGTAAAAAATTTTTAGTCGTGTGCTTAACATTCAAATTTCGTACTGCCAACATGAGAAACACAAAAATATGACAGTTTTAAACCATAATTTTGCAATTATAACAACAAATAAACAATTTATGTTTTTACTTTTTTACTTTTTATGTTCTTTTAAGTGTTTAATGGTACTTTTATTTGTTATAAAGTAGTAATTTGTTAATTAAAATACAACCTTTTATTTTTACTGTATTGGCACCGCTGAATTCACGGCCTACTGTTATTTATTTATCAAGCTCTTCAAATGGAGATAGGTACATAAATACACATTTAATTTTTTCCCGTATTTTCGGCCGAGGTAGTAAGAAAAATAGTATACACTACACGGGCAGAAAGTGTGAGAGCCCTGAACTGCGCGCCATGATGCCCTCGGCTTCGCCCCGGGCATCATGGCGCGCAGTGCAGGAATCTCACACTTTCTGCCCTTGTAGTGTAATATACTATTATCCGTCACTACACATCTGTTTTTGACGCCTAACGTTATTTAAAGATAATTTATTTTCAAATCATTTTATATTTTTTCAATAAGATTATAAAACGGAAATATTACGTTCGTTATGTGAATAATGTTCTACTGTTATGTTTTTATTTAAAAGAATAACAAAAAATAAATAAAAGACAAAAAAAAAAATTAAACTAGAACTAAAAGGACCTGCATTTTTAAAACTATACATTTTAATGTAAATTAAGGCCAGTTTCTTTTATATGGTATATTTACCTACCTTTAAATTTATTAGACAGCTAACTGTTAAAGTTACAATTGTTGACATAATTGTAACTATGACAATTAAGCACTAGATAAATTTATAAAAATGACTATTTCCCTCGTCTTAATTTCCACCAATCACAAACGAGCACTAGGTGGAAAAACTGTATGACAGCACCTGTCAGCAGTTTTTTCGAGTTTACCCGCGGCAAAACTTGAGAGCTGTTGTCACCAAAAATTGCAATTTATATTTTAATTGTTAACTGTTATTCATGAAATAGTCTTGTCAAATACCATTCAAACATCTAATTTTTCCTGTGAAAAAAAATCGAAAAAACACTATGCTAAGTAATATTTTTTAACAAAATGCATTAGTGCAGATGCAAAAATCCTCCTCTTCGACTCGGATTTTTGTTGCCACCAGCACTCATGCTTCTTGTTAAAATATTACTTATATGCCCTTATGATATTACTTACGAATATACTGACACTTAATTTCTATTTGTCGCCAAATCAATCCGTTAAACGTCATTAAAAAAATGCATAAAAATTGGAACATTTCTTCTCGGACGATTTTATTGAAAAACGGACAAACGGATATATTAAAATTAAGCTTTAGCCGTTAATTCGTATGCAATTTTTAATTTTAACAAATCAGTGGTTTTAAGACGTCTTTAAAATGCATATACAGCGAAAACCGACGTCTTTAAGATATCTTGAATGACAAATTACGATATCTTTAAGATATCTTTAAGATGTATTTGTGCTGTCTGGGCTGTATATATTTATTTAGGATGCCCCATCGAGCTGGAAATTCAGTTACATCAGAGGAAAACTGGAATAACTTAAACACTTATTTTATCTACCAAAACTTTTTGAGATATTTGATAAAACACGTTAAACGATTAAAACCTGATACACCCTGTATAGTTAATAGTTAATTTAATTTAAATATGTTATTACTAATATAATTTATTTTTAGATGTAACGAAGGCACAAGATGGTAAGTATTACTTTTATTTTTTTCAAAACAAATACAAATTCATAAAATAGTTTATTTTATCAGTGCTCCAGAAAATAAGCCTTTCTATCTCAGTTTACTTGTTCGAGGGTTTTTCGAGATAATATTTTTAAAGCCCTTTTATTTAATAATGAAAAAACGTTAAAAAATAGCTTTCAGGGATTTTTTTAAGTAAATAAAAAACATACTGTTAAAGACCGTATTTTTGTTAGTATATCCTGAAAATTTTGTACAAATCAAACAAACAGTAACGAAGTTACAGCGCTTCAAAGTCGGTAAAAATGCCCCCGTTTTGATTATTTTGCTGAAAAGTGATCATTTTTTGACGACTTTAAAGCGTATCTTCGTTACTGTTCGTTTGATATGTACTACATTTTTAGGGTAAACCAACAAAAATACGGTGTTTCACAGCATATTTTTATTTACTTCAAAAAAAACTTCCCTATAAAAGTTTTTTCTTGCATTTTTTAGTATTTAAAGATATTTTCTCGAAAAACCCCTGAACAGGTAAACTGAGTTAAAGTATTTTTATCCAAAATTGTATAAAGATTGGTTGGTAAAGGCGTTTTAGAGTTGGCGCAGTGTATGTTTTATCTCATTAGGCTAAAAAGTAATTTTTTTTGTAATAAGCGATGCCCAAAAATACACTTTTTAACCGAATGGCATGCAACATTTTATCTGCAACAATTTTATTTGTTAAAAGTTTGTCACGGTACAAGGTTGTCAATTTTTATTGTCTAAATTATTTTTTTATCCCAGGGTTGGGGCATGACGTCTTAAATCAGTGTGGACTTTTATTAAAGATATTAGTCACTAAAAACAACCATACCGTTTAAAAAACGATTTTGCTATCAATTTTTCTTTAAAAATTACTGAAAATCGATAAAATATCTCGGTAGCGTGACGTCACCATTTCAGATGTCTAATATCAAACACAGCAAAGTTCAATATATTTTTTAGTAACTTCCATCAGATTTATCAAAATTTTCGTTAAAATCTAAATACAATATACCGTAAACACGGGTGGCTTTAGCTCACTTTCAAACTTAAGCTTAAAATTTTTGTGGTTTTAACAATCACAAACATTAAATTTTGTATACCAAAATTTGAGTCTTGAGTTGTTCTTTCAAATTAACTATGTTATAATATTACATAGGGCTGAGTTTCAAAAATAAAAACTGGGTGTGCAAAGTTACCCCCTGGTTGCGGGTTACTTAAGTAACCCGCAACCAGGGGGTAACAAATTTGTCTCACAGTGTATTTTCCGTATAAATTCCGTATATGAATTCAATATCATATGTTATTTTTATTGGACACGTGTTAGCAGCGACATATATCTATTGCAAGGAATTACCGATAACAAAAATAAAAAATCGACCTGTAGTTAACCAAGGATCATCATTCCAAAGGATTGCGCATAATATAGAAATTGTAACGCTTGTATTTCTAAGAGTTTTGCACTGATGCGATATATACAATTTTAAAGTGTAATAAATCCCATTTCTTTCTTTAAAACACTGATTTTTCTGTAATATAAACTCAATAGAATCGCTCAATTGGCAGGTTTAGACCAACAAATTATAAATTTTAATTTTATCGAGCGCGTGTTTACGGTACTGCAGGACTGGTAGGTAGGTATAATAGACGTGTCAAGATTTACGTATGAATTATATGCAAAAATAAAAATTCTAAACATAACCAGTTTCTTTCACAATTTTTCTTGTTATATAAAGTTATTAACAATATTTAAAAATTAAAACTCGCACCTCCAGTAGTACATATGTAATTTACCTTGATTTTAAAACGATTTAAATACTTAAAAAGAATATTAAACACCACCCAGAAACAGATGTTCGATTCATTCGTAATTATTGACACATCTGTTATAATTTATAACTTATAACATCGCGACATCACGCGCTCTCTTCAAGGTCATCAAAAAGTTTTGAATATGGCGTTTTTCAAAACGCTGTGGCGTTTTTCAAAACGCTGTAGCGTTTTTGTAAATTGTTTGAGAAACGTCGGAAGAAAATTTAATAACAAACCCTTATGCGAAGATTCCAAATATGCAAACGAAAAATTGCATGTCCCAACCCCATTACTTTAGTAGTCAGTGTTGTCACCCTTTCTATGCAATACACCGACGCGACAATATTCATTGACAGAACTTGACTTTACAATGTTGTCCAACTAAAAATGGCTTTTTTGTTTGTAAAAATACTATAAAGATTGTTAAAACCACCTTACCCACAGTTTGTATACAATACAGAACAATTTCCGCTTCTTTCCTATAGGAAAAAAATATGTGGCTAATTCTCCCATAATTTTAATATTTAGTTCCAAAAAAGTATAAAATTTGTCAGTTTTCCTTGTTGAAATTATTTTTTGACTCTAGAAGGTCGACTAAATGGCGAAGCACAACACTTTTTTTTAAGTATCAAGTTTTTCAAGTCATCAAAGCATGCTTAGTTAGTAGTGCACTACTACTTTTTCTTTGTCATGTAAAAATTTTACAGTAAAATTAATGTTAAGTCAAACCCACATAAATTGGAAAGCAATTTAAATTAAGGGTCTTACTGACTGGGAAGAGAAGTGTCTTACTAAAATCCTGTTAAGGCTAATTTTAAAATTTAAAATTTAAAATTAATTCCTTCACTCGCCTATCGGCTCGCTCTTCATCATCGGGAGTAATTACACGCTCGGAAAACAATATACTATTTCGTCAGCAGTAAGAGTTTCTGTGTTTATAAATTTTGTTTAATTGAAAAAGTTACTATTTAGCATAAATATAAAAAAAAATAATTACGGCATATCTTTGTAGCATTGTTTTAATATCCAGTTAATTTTAGTTAGGTACTTTATAGACTTAATAATTACCGCAATATCACTTTATGAGACACATCGTATTCTTTTTACTTTGTATTGCTGTAACTGACTAATTACTGCTGGGGTAGTACGTTCAATTTTTTTTCCACTAAATGCGTATGGGAACGGTTAACGAATAATAATTTCAGGACATTTTTTGAAGCGTTATTAAGACAAGTTTACGTAGTACGTTCAATTTTATTTTCCACTAAATGCCTATGGGGACGGTTAAGGAATAACAATTTCAGGAAAATTTATTAAAGCCGAAATTTAAAAAAGGTTTAAAGGATATCATTCCGCCAAGTATTTTTCTTAGAACTCTAAAATTTTTTTTTATATAAATCATTTATAAAATTATCATTACTATGTAGTATATTCATATTAAAGTATTTCTAGATAAGTTAAAAAACAGGTTTGGGACAAGGGGACGGTCAGGAATTTGAGGGGGTTTCGGATTTTTTTTATAATAATTTTTTGTTTTAAATTTGGGCTAGAAATGTACCTCGTACGAGGTACCAGACGTCTGGTCAGTTAACTCTAAAAAAAAATTATATAAATAATTATTTGACTGCCTCGGGACATTCAAATTAAAATTATGGGAGAATTACCCCTGTATATATATTAGGGTGTTTCAAAATAAGGCAATATTTTTTTTATTTCAAATTCATGTAAAATTCTTGTCACTTATGCTAAAAAAAAAATTCTGTTAAAATTTGAGCTCTTAATATTAATTTTAAAAGGTCCATCATCGAATTTAAAGTTTTCCCATTGATTTAACATGGAAAAATAGTTTCTTAAGATTTATTTCGCCTGCATGCTATGAAGAACTTTTTTTGATAAACAATCACTGGTCTTTTTTTAACATTAAATTATCTACAAAAAATCTTACAGAGTCCAGTCTGTAATATTAATTTTAAAAGGTCCATCAACGAATTTAAAATTTCCCCATTGATTTAACAAGGAAAAATAATTTTTTAAGATTTATTTCGCCTGCATAGTATGCAGTGCATACTATGTACAACTTTTTTTTGATAAACAATCACTGGTCCTTTTTTTAAATTAAATTATCTACAAAAAATCTTCCAGTCTGTAGATTCAACTGTTTCTTTTTTATTAACAGGGGTTAGTCGCAAACAAATGGGTCACACTATAAAACGTACAATAAATAAAAGAAGAAAGTGGGGTTATATTGATATATTGATCTGACAGAATTCGAATTTTTTAATTGGTCCACAAAGTGTACAATAAAATTGCGGCCAATTACTGACGGCTAAGACACTGGCGAGAAGAAAACTAACTAATTACTATCATTATAAAAGTTTGTATGTGCCTAGGCCATAATCAATTACTTTATTGTCGAATGTTGAAGATAGAATATATTTATTATTTTAAAAAATTTGATAAATTGAAAAGCAAATGTCACACAATTCAAATTTTTTTAAGAAAATTATTGTAAAACCGTTTTTACGAATATTTTATAATATTATTATAAATTTCAGGTCATTGGTCCTTTGACGATGTAGGTATGATTATTGAGAATATTTGTAACAACACAATTAAATTATATTTTTGTTTTAGAAAACTGGCCTAGAGAATGTCAAACAGGAAAATTTCAAAGTCCAATTGACATTGGCACAGGAGGAATGTTCAAAAAATATTATCCCCGTTTTCGAAGCCAAAACTTTTACACTTATCAGTCTGCCACAATTGGAAATAATGGTCACACGGGTAGGTGGTTTAATAGTTATGACTTTTAATAAGGTGTTCAAAAATACCCCCATTGAGTTCTAAACATGCTCTGCTACGTCTGCGAACAGCGCCTGTTGCTTGTCCTATTAACTCTTGTTTTTCTTTAAAAACTCCGCCAGTATTAATTATTCGTTGAATTAGTGCCTCTCGATTATTAGTTGGCCTCCAAGAAGTCTAGATCTAACACCACTAGATTTTTCTTTATGGGGTTGGTTTAAAACAGAAGTTTACAAAATTAAAGTGAATTCACTAATAAAAAATATCAGAAATTCCGAATTATAATCTCAAATTTGTATCCCATTCATCAGTACCGTGTCGTTCCATGTTCGATGTTTCGGTTATCTTTTTTTCGCAAACTTCAATTTAAATTCTGCTTGCGCAGAACTTGTTTATTTAATGTCATTATAAACTCATATAAATTTGTTGTGGGTCCCATAATTAATAATTGAGATATCGGTATACCCAAAATCCACCAGCCGCCACTGATGTGTGGTAGAATTTGATTTTAAGATATTTAATGTTTAATATGCTTAAAGTTGCAATAAATCTAATATTTTCCAATAAATTAATATTTAATTAGTACCCTGGTATACTCGTCACTTCCCTTGAATTCAAATTTAGAAAACACAGATATTTCAGAAACTATTTGAAAAAGGGACTGGCCCGGTCTAGAACAGTATATTTATTATATTATCTATGTTCTCATAACAAAATTTTGTTTAATTTTCTCCGAAAACTATATACACAAAATGAGGTCAAAAGTTGCCCAACTTTTGTAGAATCACCCATATCACCAAAGTTTTCCTATTTCAATTTTTTTTAGCCAAGATTGTGCAATTTTCAAAATTCACAAACTATTTTTGTCCGATTTTAATAAAATGTACAAAATTTAAAGCTTCATCCATCTAATTTATTGTAATGCAAGCTAATAAAAATTGTCCAATTGTCACTTTTAAGAGTAAGTTTAAAAACTAACCGCGTATCATAGTTTATATTTACCATATATTCCTTAAATAAATTATGTGAACTACCCTGTAATTAATACAGGTATATTCATCTAATATTTCTTCGAAAAAAGTCATGTTTGTTATTTTTTATATTTATTTTAGTTAAATTGTCGTTGTTTTTTTGTTTTTAAACTTTTATAAATGCATCTGTACACCAAAGCCAAACTGTATTAGGTGCACTTTTTTAAAATTACATTACTCATTTTTGCCTACACTTTCTGCTCTAGTAAACATGATAAAATGCTGGCTTACTTAGTTTTTTGATATATCCCAAAACATTACAATTGAAGGGGTTAGAATAAAAAGGGTATATGAGTATGAGTATGAGTATGGGAACGTATGGCAAGCCCCAGATATATTGTCATCCACTGATCTCCCGGGGTTATATTACCCCCTTTCCGTTCTCCTGCGTATCCCGCCAAATCACAGCATTACCTGTGTTTGTTGGATCCGAAGTTTTACGCCGGCTGGTAGATCCACCCTAGGAGTTCGTGGATGACAGTGTCAAAGGTTAAGGCAGCTCCCGGGATTTTTGTCAGCCGGGTCGGGCCATACGTCCAGTTTAGGAAGGGTTTTTGGAGGACATTGAACTGACCCAAAACTAAGTACAATCCGGAATCCTCCTCAACCTAGGCCTTAGTAGTATCCCCATTCAATTGGTATTCGTGAATGGGGGTGGGTATGTTAGTTTTTTTGCTTACTCCGGCTACCAACCTTGTATATTCTTTATTTATTTTATTGCTATATTAGTGTTCATACCGTTTTCATTTATTTATATCTTTGCCTTCTTACTTATTTTTTTTCAAATTAATTTAAAAATAAAAATATTAATATACAAAATAGATAAAGCCGGCCCTGTGGTGTATCGCATCAATATTTGAAACCCGGCCCCTATGTCAGGCATGCAACGCATGCCTCAATAGATGGCCTACCACTTCATTTTCACGTGGGGGCTTTGCCCATTTACTTTCGCCATCCTCCAAGCTTTGCTTGCGTGAGCTTATGTGTATATTATATAATATATATAATACAATAATATAATATTGCGACGCACCCACTTGATTTCCCTTCACACACGCACGCTGCCCTCTGCAATGATCAATTGTTGCCTGGTTTCCTGTTAAATTAGTATCTATATAAATTCAATATAAATATCAATTAGTCAATACCAATACTAATACCAAATAATACAAATAATCAATACAGGTTAGAATAAAAAGGGTATAAGTAACATTTTCATTTTTTGGAGATATTTGAAGTTAAAGTTATGTTACCATAAAAAAGTGAAGAATTTTGTTTAGTAATGTTTTTCTACTGAATAATAGAGGTCCCTAGAAGTATGAAAATTACTTAAATCCTTTTCATTTCGATACGTCGGAACCTTATCTTTCACAAAACATTATCTCCTAAATTAAAGAAATTGCACTTATACCCTTTCTATTCTAACCCCTTCAATTGTTGCCAGAACATTGGCACAACTTAAGGATGTCAAAATAATATTTAATAAAAAAAATTATGGTGTCTTCTTTAAAGGGATATCTGTGAAAATATATTTAATCTGTTGGAGACAATATCATTGCTCTAAAAAGACAATAAACATAATTATTTACAATATACAATCATATATAAATATATATTTTCTTTTTAGTAAACATAACATTTTCAAATACGATAACAGTGTATGGTGGTGGACTGCCAGCACCAAAATATCAACTTGATAATATTCATTTTCATTGGAGATCGGAACACACAGTGAACCATTATAGGTAAAGCATTTTCTTTTGTAACACGGTGGGTAATATATACATAACTAGTGGTACAATACGGATACGATACCTGCAGGAACAAAACACTACTTTTTGAGGATTTAACACATACAAGACTTATATATAAATCGTATACCGTTTAACTCTTTTTGAGGTTTAATTCTTTGGTACTAATTATATTAATACTCATTTACTCATAATATTATTATATTAAATAAAGGTGGCGAACACAACTTATTTAAAATTGATATTTATTTTTTTATTTTATTTCATGGTTTTATTAAATTATATCAATTAAGTATTAAACTATAAATATGATAATATTAATCTAATAGATTACACAGGCCCACAAAAAAAATGATAGGAGTGGTCTGCGTCATGAATAAGACCATGATATTCCCATGCGCATTTAGAGCGTCAGAACCCCAAAGATAAGATTGCTTTGGAATGTAATGCCAAATCTTGATAACAAGACATATTTTTGTAGATTTACGCTTTACATAAAAGGTCTTATACGTTTTTTTTGCCAAGACTATCCATTTAAATGATGTCAAAGTTTGAAATAAATAAAACAATTATCTTTTTTCTCTAAATTACAAAAGTTGGCTTTAAGTTGACCTTTTTTACTTGGGTATTATCTAAATTATTCGTTTACAAGTTTTTTGTCCAGAAAATATCCTTGACAAAAAATCTTTTTTTGACGTCAAATTGATAGGAGGGTATCACAAGTCCCCCTTTCCATTTGGAATTTTTAAGTTGATACTGCCGTTTTGACACATCTTAAAGAGGCACCTATTAATTTAACGTAAAAAAGTAGTATACTTAATATCTTTGACAATGGTTTTTGTCCGTTTTGTTCGTTCAAAATATAAAAGGCGCAATGTATACAGTGGCGGCTGGTGGATTTTGTGTATACCGATATCTCAATTATTAGACATGACACCCACACCAAATTTATATGAGTTTATAATGACATTAAATAAACAAGTTCTGCGCAATCAGAATTTAAATTGAAGTTTTATTATATCTTTGAAAAGAAATATTAAAAATTTAAAATGGTATAAAATCTGTATGATTTGGATTTTTTTAAATGAAAAGTTATCTTTTTTCTCAAACTTCAATTTAAATTCTGCCTGGGCAGAACTTGTTTATTTAATATAAACTCATAAACATTTGGTGTGGGACCCATATCTAATAATTGGGATATCGGTATACCCAAAATCCACCTGCCGCCACCGAATGTATATAATAACCGTTTTTTGTTTTTACTATTTGGAAACTTTCTGAATCAACGGTTTTAATAATACATTTATGCGTTATAACGCTGTTTAAATTTACACGACTTATTTGTTTTATGATTTTTACTGAATTGAAATGTTTATAATTTTCACGTAAATCTACTAAAATGTGTATTTATTGTATCTAAGAGGTTCAATTTATATTTACAGGGACTGTATGAAATTTATTTATTCATTTGGATTTCCACTGTTTATTGGAAAGCCGGTAAAAACTTAACCCAGGATTTCCTCTTAAAAAAAACACAACAAATCGTTTTTTCTCTCTCGATATTTTAAAAAATTTCCGGCCTTATTCTCAAAAACACTCGAGTTTTGTTACTATGATAACGGCCAAGTGGTTATATTTATTAGCGAGTTATATATTTTTCTTATGTCATTAAAATGTCATGTGGGCAGGGTTAAACTTAATCGATTTTTTTTCTATTGTGGGATACATTGTTTTTTATTTGTAATTTTTTTTATAACTTATCGTAAATGCTGTAACAGTTATAGCAGCAACCGATCTTATTATATTTTAAAGAAGATTAAGCTTTATCTAATATTAAAATTTTAAAAGGCCACCTTTAAAAAAATCGAATTTAGTATAAATATATTTAGCCAATTAGTCCAGTCAAACCGTGGTGAAAAATGGCCTTACCTTGCGTGCTAAGGCACTGTCTGTTTTTTCATAAATCGATAGGGGCTTATTTGAAAATCTTAAAACAAAATTTGCACCACCTGACCATTTTTTCTTACAATATATTACAATTTTGTTTTAAGATTTTCAAATAAGCCCCTATATATATAAACGCAAAAATACATTTTTTTTTTAATTTTTAGCGAATATCTTGGCCCCCGTATATTGCACAATAAAAAGTAAAGAACCAAAATTATATTTCATAAAATTTACAATAATTTTTGTCTGAAGTATTTTTGTTTAAACAAATGAGTACAAAAATATGAAGTTAAAATGAAAGATTTGTTTTTATATTTTGCTTTTTTTCAATCTTATGCAAAAATTTCGCAAACGCTTTATTTTATGATAAATTATTGTGATCAACATTTTGTACCTCTTTTAATATTCTACAATTTAAAAAAAATAGATCTCGGTGCGACTAACGAGAGCCAACAAATTCTCGAGTGAACATGGCCTACTTTAGAGGAAGAGTCTCAGGCTCGTTTTTTTATTGCGGTATTTCCTGTAGGTCTAATCCACGTCAAAATATATTTATTTCTTCTATGTTAATGATCGTTTGACTGTGACTGGAAGTGTAGTGTGGAAGGTCTGATCCTTTTTGAGATTTGCTGTATCTTGTTAGGAAAACCATGGTTGGTAGATCAAATATATCTCTTTGTCAGAGTCAATGGCAATCTATCGAAAGTTTAAACATATTTTCCTGCATGAAAATTTTTATTATTCGAAAATTCTGCGAAACCCGGTCTTTCGACAGCCGTAAGTTGCACAGCATTGATTCGTTCACCAGCACGAAATAATGTCGACAAGTGATGATGGTTTCGTTTCTCCTGACTTGGAGGTCATCATTGGCTTAAGCTTTAGCCCCCCTATTCTGGATCTAAAACATTCACTAACCATGCCTACACCGGCTAAAGCTGTTCTTGTGCACGAATGGTAAAAATTAAAACCTATCTCGCTAATTTGCGGACAAAATTATTTTCTAACATTCATCAGATTCAGGCATAGCTAGGAAAAGAGTAAAGCTAAAAACTTAACTAAACATGTAGTAATAATTTACCGTAAAATTCACAGTATGCAAAATATTTGCAAAAAAGTAAATTATATTTTTTTACTTATTTGTATAAACAAAAAAAACTTTAGAAAAAAATTATAGAAAATTTAATAAAAAATAATTTGATTTTTTTACTTTTTATTGTGCAGTATACGGGAACAAAGATATTCACTAAAAACTGAAAATATGTATTTTGTATATGTATTTTTGCGTATATCTTTGTAAAAAAATATTGTCAGGTGGTGTAAATTTGGTTTTATGCTTTTCATATAGCTCCCTGTCAATTCATAAAAAAACCCATATAGTGCCTCAGCAAGCAAGGTCAAACGACGGTTTGACTTATTTCATTTATTTATTTATTGTATAATTGTTTAATGAATCAACAAAATACAACAAAAACATTTTAAAAATATAATTATTTATTTATGTACCACCGAACATAAAATTTCATTGACCTATAAGTTTAAAAAACAATTAAAAAATATTTCAGATATCCATTGGAAATTCATTTAGTATTATACGACGCGCAATATCCAAATTTTCAAGAAGCTCTAGCCAATAAAGGTGTAGCGGTATTAGGCGTTTTAGTGGAGGTAATATACTAATAATCTGGATTTTCTGGATACACAAAGAATAGTTAAGATTTGTTTGTTTTTATCCATGACAACACTAAAATTCAGGAGTGTAACTACTATTATTAAATATGAAAAAAGTATATTTATATCTTTGAATAAAAAAACCTTTTAAAAAAAATTTGGACTCATTATGTGTCCATTTTTTTTAATTATTAAATTTAAAGTTTAGCTTATAACTGAAAGATAATTGCATTTTTAGGTAGTAAAGCACTTAAATCTGTTAGTTTATCTTTATGCTTTACAAAAGTATTATTCTAAAATATAGACCTACCTAGTAAGTATACTCATTTCACGTCAAATTTTCAGTCAAAATTTAAATTTGCCTAAAAATTTTTTTTTATTACGATCGTATCGATACGAAAAAAATTACATGTTTTTTTTTAATTTCAAAATTTTGAATGGAAAATTATGATTGAGGATTTTTTGTAATTTTAGGAATAGAAGAATCTATCTTTTAACACCAACAGACAAAAAATGCACAATAATAACTACAACAATTTATTTTGTCAAGTTATCTATGAAAAATCATTGAAATAAAATTAAACTAATAGTAACATGGTATTATTTCCAGAGCTGTGGTACTCAGTAGAAAAAATACTGCAAGTATGGTACTGAGTACTTTCAGTACTTAAAGTACTCTACTGCCAGTACTTATAAAATCATGTTACTGGTACTGGGATATCAAGTACAATTGGAAAATACTGGTACTGGGTACTGGTTTTTCAGATTTTTATTAAAAAGTAATACTGGATACTTGGAAAAGTACTGGTAATACGGAAACACTTAAATCGATACTGCCAGTATTTTAATTACTGAAAGGGATGAAAAGGACTGGCAGTACTTTTAGAACATTTCCAGTATTCCAAGAAAATACCAGTTTAAACTAGTTTATTTTATATAATTTATATATAGTAGGTATAGTATAATTAGTATACACGTTTATTTTTTCTTAAAGTTTATTTTGATTTTTAACATTTGTTTATTTTTGTGAGTGATAATTTTGCAAATAAATTTATTTGTAAATAATAACAATACTAAATAGGTATGACTATTATGTATGTTTTATTATTTTCTGCCACCTAATTCTTATGCAAATGCAATTATAATACTTGCAGATAAATTAAGATTTTTTTGCAAAAAATTATAAATATCTAAGTTTTAAATATTACATCTAAAACTCTTAAATATAGTAAAATTAAATTCAAAAATTTATTATAATATGTTTATGAATATGATATCACCAGTACTGAAAATTCTGTAAGTAATAAAAATTACTTGCAGTAATAAAAATTACTTGCAGTAATAAAAATTACTTGCAGTAATCAAAGTTACTTGCAGTAATCAAAATTACTGGCAGTAATCAAAATTACTTATAAGTATTTAAAACCATAACTTTATAAGTACTTGGTACTGGTACTGGTCCTTTTACAATTTCCAGTACTTTACTTGATACTGGAAGTACATTTATTAAATACTGGATACCGGTACTGGAAGTTAAATGAAATATTATGATACTGGTTACTGGATACTGACAGTACTATCGTAGGGTACTTGCAACAGCTCTGATTATTTCTATAAGTTTAATTTTATTTTAATGATTTTTCATGGATAACTTGACAAAATAAATTTTTGTAGTTATTATTGTGCATTTTTTTTCTTAAAATTTTTCAATAAAATTTAGTATAGGGTCGTTTTGAGGGGTGGTGAATCCAGTACCGTGCTTAGATTTTGTTTAAAAAAATCGTTAATATGAATTCTTAAAAATTTACTCTTAAAAACTAATATAGTACCTAAGCCTTGTATTTTGTAAAAATATGGCTGTAAGTATTCCCAGAAATTTTAATAATTTTAATTGTTATTGTAGGATGAAAACGCTGAGAACATTTTATAGAATTATCATTGAAATGGTTTAAATAATTAATATTGTTCAAATAATGCTTATTAAAATTTTTTTTTTCAAATATTTTTTGAAAATTTTATTCATTTGACATCTATAAAAAAATGTCATCCAATTTCTTTTAAAGGTTGTAAAATTATTCTAGGTTGACACATTTGACTTGTTTGACTCACGTGTCATTTTTTTGTGACGTAAACAAAAAAAATATTCCAGGCAAAATTTGACGTGAGATGACCCGTATATTCTTTAAAGGATATTGGTACGCTGAATTCGAATCTGGTGCCTTAAGTTCGCTATCAGGTCGGGGCCTTTAAAGCCGGGTCTATAATCGAAGAACATAAGCTTGCGCAAAGCACCCCGCGACGTGGCGATGGAGCAAGGTTCTTTTGTCAGCGACAATTGTAGACCCGGCTTAAGATATTCAAATCCAAAAGTTGAAAAAGCGCGTTTTGTTAAAAACCTGCAAGGAATATGTAATTTCGTTGCCCTGCTAAGAGTGGGAAAAATAATGAATTCCCTGATTGTTATTTCTTAACTTGAACCCATTGGCAGAATATAATTTTACCCACGGGCTTAACTGTAAGTTAAAATTGAAAAAAAGTGAGGTTAAAATTGCTTGATAGTTGCCAGATCAGATAAAATATTAATTAATATTGGCGTACAATTTCTTGCACTAGTTGAATAAAATATGTGCGACTATTGGTCAAAAGAGGAGATCCCACTCGCCTGAATCCACGCATGAGGAATGCAGAAAAATCGACACATATTCAAATTGAGTGCATCAAATTAATTAAGAAACAGCATTTGGTCCAGTTTTTTCATATTTTGCAAAGTAGAATATGCTCTTGAATTCACGCGACTTTTTAAAGTTTTTATATGGATCTCCAAAATGAAAAAAAAATCGTTCAAAATATTTAGTACATATTGCCAATGAATCGTAACTATGCTTTGTGCATAAAGTCATACTAATAAACAAATTACACTGGTCACCAAATTTAAAAATATGTTATATTGAAAAACATGAACATTAATTAAATCTCAAAAATAGTGTTGACCAGTGTTATTTCAACCCTATTTATCCAAGATTAAAAAACAATATTTTAGGAATGTAGTGATTACTTTAATACATGGTATAACGCATGGGATGTGATTAAAAACCAAATGTCAGAAATAGAGAAAGTCGGCACCATCACGCAATTAAACCAGAGAATTCTGATTAGCAATTTTCTTCCATACAACACCCGCAGGTTTGTCAGGTATTCGGGATCACTTACAACGCCAGATTGCAACGAAGGAATTATTTGGACTGTGTTTACAAACACTATTTGTATACCATCACACCAGGTATGTACAATGTACATTAAGTAGTCAAACAAAAAAAATCATACAAGACATTACTTTTGCTTATTCAGCTTAAAAATACTATCACTGACGCTTTTAATATTTCAAGAATATAAATTTTTAGAAAAGTTAAGTTATATACAGGGTGTCTCTAAATTCCAGCGCAAAATGTAAACAAACTTGGGGTAAAAAATGCTATATAAGGGAGCTATCCCAGGTTTACTTTATCCTAAAATAATAAATTTGGACACACCCACTACAGCTTACAAATTCAACAGGCATCGCCTCCAATTTTTTTTAAATAACGTTATTGGGTATTTTGGTTCCATTTTATTAGTTTATTAGTTTTACACAAAAAAGGTTGTATTTTAATTATTTATTAAAAATTTTCAAAATTACCTTACCTTGCACTCTAATATAAATTATAAATATAAAATTTACCTAATGAGTGAAAAGTTAGCTAATTTTGAAAATTTTAAGGCTTTTTTGTTTAATAAATAATTAAAGTTTAAAATTTTCAGGAAATGTAGAGGGAACCTTTATCTTGTAGCAACTTAGTCTTGTTCTGTTCACCCCTCTAAGAAATATATACCCAGTAAGCACCAAACTCTCGGCAAACAGTCGGCCTTCGCTCGGCATAGGCAGTTGACTAGCGGTTCGGCTTTCCCCCAGTCGTCCCGCTTATGGCCTGCGTTATGTTAGCCCGGTACCGTTTGGCCATGTTCTAAAGTCGGCCAGAATACGGCATGCCGCTGCAAAATCGTTCGGCTTGCCCTAGCCGGCCCGCTTACGGCCGGAATACGGCCTGCCGTGGCATAAGCAATACATCTCACGGCTGCTTACGCAAGCGAGATAACTATAAATAGCGATGGGTTGCAATATTTAGTTGGAAGTGTGCGTCTGTAATGGCATAGCTGAACATTAATTGTTTGAAGTCCCCATCTCCATCCTTATCTGCTCACTAACGAATAATGGCTAGCTATAGTCGAGTGTGTTAAACCTATAGGATATATCCTATAGTCCTATCCAGGACGTCTGAAGGCTTTTTTAAATTGTCAGGCTGTTGTGGCCGGCACTCGGGCAACTATACACAGCCGTCACTCGGACGAGTGAACATAGCTGACATTCGGCCAGGCGGACATGCCCGGTCTACACGCCGGAACAAATACCTGTGTCGGGCCGCACGCGGCCGATTCGGCAAAACGTATTCGGTCCGTATGCGGTCCGTATGTGGGTATTTTTTAATACTTATTTTGAAAAAAAGTTGTAGCTTAACAAAAAGTGTTTGATGTAGATCCTCCTCAATTTTTTTATCATAATCTAAAACCATGTAGCACACAATTGGACGTTTTCATACGGAATGACTCCGTGATATTAATTAAAATTTAATTTGATTAATATAGATTTTGTTAACTTTATTAAATGTCAAAAATTGTATAGAGCGCCATCTATGAAACAACAGGGGAAACTGTCAAATGTCACATTTTTACATTTTATAAACACAATTATAAAGGTTATAAATCGAAATTTATCTTGAAAATTGACAGTTTTTTACAGTGAAAGTAAAGGAAATGTTTTATGTAGAGTCCGTGCCCGAATTTAAGTTATAGTTCACTGCCGGCGAAATTAAAAGGCCAGTACAATGTTCATATAAACTTTTCAAATATTGGCGTTGAGAAACTATTTAATATTTTTGTATTTTTGTATTGGGATAATAAAATAATTTTCACATTTAGTATTATTTTACAAGAAAGGCACTTTATTTTAACGATTGTATGACATTTGACAACTGTCAACTAACTTAAAACTAACTTCAGCCCGTGACTAAAAACCTGTTGCTAACTTCAGCCCGTGACTAAAAACCTGTTGCTAACTTCAGCCCGTGACTAAAGCGCCGTACAGCCACAACTTGTCAATGTATATTTAAAAAGTCACTTAGTGTCATGGAAACATGTACGATAAAGGGCGTTTTAAAGGTGGGAGTAGAAAAAATAGTTTAAATTGATGTTGGTATTAACTGAAGCAGACAATTTTTAATGTCTAGTATAGATATAGAAAAAAAATGTACTTGGAACATAACAAAAATATTCGTCCAACACAAAGCTTATCTCTCTCATTCAAGTAAATTATTTAAAAATAAAAATTACCGTATTGTTTCACATTTGGTTTTTTTCGCGAAATAGCCTCATAGATTAATAACCTGTTAAAATATCCATACATTGCACCAACGCGTTGGTTGGCCATTTTAGGGATAACTACCCTATATTGGGCAAAACACGCCAAGTGTTTCCACTAAAAACTTAAGTTGTTTCCGATTTTGATGAAACTTTGCTAAATCATTGCCCTATCGGACTACTTTAATTAAGCAAAAGGGCAGCGGAAAAGACTGACGGGTTGCAGACATAAGAGAACACCAAGCTTCGAAGATGAGGTCCTAGAGCAAGTAGCGAAAAATCCATCGACTAGCACCCGTGCTATTGCCCATGCCTTGGAGGTTTCACATACTTAAGTTTGGAGAGTAGTACATGAACACCAACATCATCCTTATCACCTACAGAATGTGCAAGCATTACAGCCTGAAGACTTTTAACGTCGAATTGATTTTTGCAACTGGTTTTTGCAGCAGTCCGCAGCCATGCCTGACTTTTCTTTAAATGTAAAGTTCTCGGATAAATCATGTTTCACCAGAGATGGTCCTTTTAACAGTCGCAATAGTCTCATCTGAGACTACGAGAATTCTACGCTACAGTAATGCATAGATACCAACATCGCTTCTTGTTAACATGTGGGCTGAAATCGTTGATCACACTAGTTTACACAAAAATTGAACCAGATGAGAACAGTTTTTTCTAGAGCAATTTTGGGTCGCTGAAAAAGAAAAAATCACTTATTTTTTTTTTCAAAGAAGCGTTGTCTAGATCCAAGCAAAAAACGTGTTTTTTGGCTCTGCTTTTAGTTACTGATAGAAATCTCGTGAGCGGTTGATCAAACTAACATGAATTGTATTTAATTAATTGTTTCGACTTTTACTTGATGAAACTCCATGTTAATATTGTTTTATTTTAATATAAACTACACTGTTTAAAAGTTTCACTATTTTATTTAAATATGACAATTGTTTCGCTACACAGTAGCATCTTCAGATCTGAAGATGCTACCTACTGTGTAGCGAAACAATTGTCATATTTAAATAAAATAGTGAAACTTTTAAACAGTGTAGTTTATATTAAAATAAAACAATATGAATTGTATTTCTTTCGATAGGTATACTCTTTTTCTTTCCGACGATATACTGTTGGTATCAATAAAATTAAAATTTATTGGGTTGCAGGTGATGAAAGTATATAAAAAGTACTTTTTTCAACATATTCAGTTGTTTCTTAAGTATACAAACAATTTTTTTAACATAGTTTTAGGATCGCAGTTAACAGACAATTTTATTAAAAACATATAAAGCCTTAATTTGCTTAAATCGGACAAAAAATGTCGAAGTTATGGTATATTAAGTGAAGATAGACTAATTCGATTTTTAACACGAACGTTTGTATATACAGTATATATATATAAATATATTACAGGTGCGCGCATGTCATTAAAAATGCACTTTCTTTACAGTCATTTGGACTTTTTTCCTCCAAATTTGGGAGCTGAGAGCGATGAACAAGGAGAGATTTCACCAGGACATCGCAATAATCGAACAGCGGTATGAGGGCCTTTGGGATCAAGGAATGATGGGTGACTACTGCTGAATGCAAATTCGCAAAGATTTAACTCAGCATAAACGAAGAAGTTTAAGTAAAAAAATATTTTCCACCAAATATATATATATATTTATAAATATATAAAAATCTAAAATTGTGTGCTTTCACTTATTATACCATAACTTTGAAATTTTTTGCCCGATTTAAGGAAACTTACGCTTTATATTTTTGTTATAGAATTATCTGTTACTTGCGATCTTAAAAGGATGTAAAATATTTTGTTATTATCTTCCTGAAACAACTAAATATGAGTGATTTTTAAAAAACGTAAGAAAATCCACATTTTATCGACTTTTATTACTTGCAACTCGAAACATTTTAATCCGATTGGTACAAACAGTATATCGTCGGAAAGAAGAATAACATACATAACTTGGTTATAAAATCCTCAATTCAAACCAAATTCCTTGGTATAATCTTAGACGCAAACCTAAACTGGCATGAACACATTAATCACATTAACAAAAAACTGAATAGAGCCTTTTTTGCATTGTTAAATATGAAAAATTCACTGTCTCAAGAATACCTTTTAAATGTTTATTATGCATTAGCTTATAGTCATTTAAATTATTGTATCTGCCTATGGGGGGGCTCTGGATATGCAAAACATGTATTTACTTCTCAAAAGAAAATTATCAGACTGATCTTTAACCTAAAAAACACCGAATCATGCAAAATCACATTTAAAACTCACAAAATACTAACAGTACCAAGTATTTATATACTAAATAGTTTACTATTTGCTAAAAATAATAATTTAAACTTTGACAAAAACAACAAATTTCACTCGTATTCAACAAGAAATGCAAATAAAATAATGTCCACTGCACACAAAACAACAAAATTCGAGAGGTCGGTCTCATACGCATCAGCCAAAATATACAATAATTTACCAGAAAATATAAAAGAAATAAATAATTTAAATAAGTTTAAAAACGAGTGTAAAAACTTCCTGGCAAATCACTGTTTCTACAGCACCCAGGAATATTTTCAGAAATGTTAGATACCATAGCTTTAAAAATGTATGCTTGTGTTCTGTTCTTTTTGTTTTTATACATTTATTTTTAAACTATAAATAAAACCATAGTTTTAGTACAAATATATGTATGTATATATGTGTATTTATCTGTATTTGTGAACCATGCAAATTACTTTAATGACGTGTACACCCTATTATATCTAGGCAAAGTATAAATAAAATATTATTATTATTATTATTATTATTATTATTATACCTTTCGAACTATATACAATTAATGTTAGTTTGGTGAGCCTTTCTCGAGATTTCTGCGAGTAATTGAGAAAAGATCCATAAAACACGTCTTCAGATTGGATCTAGATAACGCTTCTTTGAAAAAAAAAGTTACTTTTCTTTTTTTCAGAGGCCCAAAGTTAGCATAAAAAAACTTTTTTTTAGGTTCACGCGATGAACAAAAAATTTGTAAACTAGTGTCATTTAATTGGACCGCACCTTTTTCCTCCGCGGATCAACGGCAAGATTTACTTGAATCTTTTTAATTATCCCACTCTGTAAACTTTTTTCTGGGAGTTGAAGCACCCGTATTCGTGTATTTAAACTGTGCGTACACTTTTCTCCACCAAGTTTTAAGTTTTTATCATCGATCTCACCTTGAAGGTGGCATTTTAGAAAAAAAATATTTATTTTTTGTGTCTATTTTGACCCAAGGAATAACCCCCTCACGTTCGTCGCATCAACACTGAAACACCCAGTACAACATTCATTTTACAATTAATGATCATACAAAAATAAAAATTATTTTTCCATAATGTCTCGTGTTTGGTATGTTTTCATAACGATAATAAGATAAATTAATTTATTTCATATTTTATGTACTTGTGGTTTTGTCTAATAAGTCTTCTTTGTTTTCAGCTTAACGCTTTAAAGCAAATTCGAGGTGAAGATGGAAAAAAATTAGACTCAACGTACAGACCTGTACAACCATTAAATGGACGTATAGTTACACTTTCGAAAAATATTTTTAATTTTGATGCACAAACAAACTGGTTTAAATTTATTTTTTGACATGAAATTTATAATTTTAGGATGTTGTTAAATAAAAATATATAAGATTACTTTTTATTCTTTATTTTCTTTTTGCGGAAATACTTAATGCTAACATTAATTTTATAAAGTTATAAAAATAGAATTTCACCATGCAGATTTTGATTCAGTCCGAGATTTTAAAATTTGTAAAATTATACATCTACTCTCATGTAGTCATATTTTTGACATCATTTTACAAAAGCAGTTCCATTTTACTTATTAAATCAGTTCATGCAGTAAAAAACTAATACGGATTAAAATTTATAATATACAACTTTTATTAATACAATTTTGGCCCCATTTATAAAAATGTTAAATATGATTGTCAACAATTCTATACAAAACATTAAATTTTATAAAATAAGCTTGGTACAATAAATATAATTAAAGCACTAAATTATGTATGGAATGCAAAGAAGCTGTTAAAAGTATTTATACAAATAAAATTATAAATCGCAATTTGGAAGCTCCCATATCAAATCAAATCCGTATTTTTCACTTTTTAATAATTAATAATAATAAAATTATTAGTCTAAAAATAATACAGAATACGTTTAAAAAAATTCAACATAAAAGATTGATATACAAATAGGGGAAAGTATTAAATTTATTGACAAATGTTAGATACTTTTATCGAAATTTATAGCAAATAAACCGCTGGTTTATTGTTTTTAACTGTGTAGTTCTTTTTTTAAATTACCTTAAGTAAATAATTTACTTCATCCCAAAAATTAAGTATCATAGCATTATGAGTACAATGTAAAACTAATACAGCCATTAAAATAAAAGTAGGCAAGTGGAATGGTTTTATCAATGTAATTTATTTAATAAAACCAAATAACAGGAATATATCTGTACTCGAACCGGGCTTAACTATGTCATGTCCCAAAATTGAGTGATTTAACTTTTTTGGGCTTGTTTGTTTATACCAAAAGATATGTCTGTAAAATTCAGAAAAAGTAGCAAAAGAATTGTCACTTTTGGGCAACGTGGGCAGTAAAATTATACAGGGTGTTCCAAAAGTCATGGACAGCAGAAAAGGGGCGAATATGGGATGGTATTCTGCTCAGATTGGCTACTTTATTTAATTAATAACTAATTAAGGAAGCGTCATATCGAAAAACGTGTTCTTATAAAATCATTCCCTATCAACCCCTTTTCTGCTGTCCATGACTTTTGGGACACCAATAAGGCAATAATATATTATCTTTGAAATATGACATTGTGCCACTACAACAAGGATTATTGGATTTGAAGGATAACACTGTGCAACGGTACAAAAAATACCTGGACGGAGTCTGGATGGGTCGATAATACTATTTTTGTAGATCAAAACCCCCAAGGATTTTCAAAAGTTAGCATGACTTTTAAAGTTATGATTGTTTAAAGTTTGAGTAACATGACTCTTGTTATCAAAAAATCATATTTACTTAATTTTTTTAAGGGTAATTGTAATGGATACTGTAATAATGGATTTCTATAAAAAAATAATTTGAAAAATCGAATTTATTTTTTTGCATTTTTATGCTTGTTTATATCACTGCAAAATTTTTATCAAAAAAATATAGTCGGGGTTTACACAAGACTGGAATCTGTGTGACATCACAAACATACCATCCAAAGGAATTTTGCATGTTTAGGTCATATAAACAATTCAATATTTATAAAAATAAATTTCTTAAAACACAACACGTGCTGTGAGTTAATAATATATTTATTTTTCCATTTTTATTATACAATCAAGCAGCATCTTATTAACTGTTTTTTACCTTTGCAACAAAAACATTAAAAATAATTTTTAAAATTGAATATAAATTGTTTGGAAGGAAATGTTCTAAGGATGACATAGATTCCATTTAGTAGTTGTATAAGAAAAAAGTCTCCAGGCGTGATACTAGCTGAAATTTGTTGGTGGAGCAAACACGTACCCACATACAGTTCGATTTTTAAAAGAAGTAACTTTCGTCATAGATTAAAAAAACAGTTTTTCGACATACGTATCGTATCATAATAGTAAAATTGTCAGGAAATGCAAAAGGGCTCGAATATAATACGATTTTCAGAGATGTTGTATTTGGTTATAGTAAAATAAAATACGAAGAAAAGTATTTATAAACATTTTGTTGTTGTTATAAGCCAATTTTATTGCAGTTTATCACAAAAACACAGTCGAAAAATAGGTACGTCTCACCCCAGATAGCAATCGTGCGTCGCACGTAGGTCGTGTTTAGTAAACCACCTTGTTTCATATTGTTGTATAGTTTAGGATTGTTGTATGTTGTCAGATTCTGACAATCAATTTTAATCGAACATAAGTTATTATAAATTGTATAATAAAACATGGCGCAGTCGCAGAAGTCCTACGCTTAGTACAACACAAATACAAATGGAGTTCAACAAGCCAACAGAATTAAGGCGGCCGCACAATTACTCGGGAACGGAAACGAAAATGAGAACGGTAAAGAGAAAAAAATTAAACGCACATAAGTCAATGTACACATGCACAACAAATTTTAGGTAACGAGAACGAGAAACATCCCGCGAACGGAAACGAGAAAGTTGGTTAAGTTTTAAGTTTCTCGTTCCCGGTAGCCAATAGAAACGCAGCATTATCGAAACCAATAGAAAATGAGTTTAATCTGTCAAATTATTTCTGACATTCGCGCTATTTGTTTTATCAATACGTTCTGTGTTAAGAAATTAATGAAAATGAACGACGAATTAATTATTTTATTGGTAAAAAAGTTCCCATATCTGTACGATCGCCTGTTAAAAGAGTATAAAGATTAATTATTAAAGAAAAATAGTTAGCTTTTAATAGCTGAACATCTGCAGTATGATCGTACGTATATTTCTATTATAAATACCAAATAAATTAAATATCCCCAAAATATATTAACCCTAAGAATTAAAATAATTATGTTAATTGTGAATCTTCTCGTTTTCGTTTTAGTTTCCGTTCTCGTTTTCGTTAGCGTTCCCGTGTAATTGTGCAGCCGCCTTTATTGGTGAACATTAATATAGCAGAAAACTTCCGTCAATTCAAAGAAGATGTTGAAATATATTTCCTTGCCACGGAAACAAAAAAATCAAGAGAAACTCAAATTGCCCGACTGAAGAATTTACTTGGAACAAATGGTTTGAATCTGTATAAGGCCATTTCTAAAATACCCTTGGTATACCTTCATTATTAATTTCTGATAATGTTCCTTTCAAAAGTCATGAATTAATGGTTTTTTCTAAGGAATGGAATTTTAGCATTAATACATGTAGTCCATATTATCATCAATCAAATGGTCTAGCTGAAAAAGCGGTTGATATTGCTAAAAATATGCTTAAAAAAGCCAATGAGTCTAGAACTGACTTAAATTTATATTTATTAAATTATAGAAATTCTCCTGTTGCTAATTTAGAATATTCTCCAGCAAAGCAGGATCTTAAGATGTAAACTTCCTATTCCTTTTTGTAATTTAAAGCCCAGAGTGGTACCAGATTGTTTTAACAATAAAATGAAAACCAATCAAAACAAGCAAGGACTATTTTATAATAAAAATACAATCAAAGAAATTTATTTTGAAAAAGGGGAAAAGGTTTTGGTGCAACATATTTTTAAAAAGACTTGGCACCCAGCAATTGTAATTAAGAAATGTGAAATACCTAGATCGTATTTAATACAAATATGTGATACTAATCAAATTTTACGCAGAAATACAAGATTTATAAAGAAGATTGTTGGTAACAACTCCTAACCTTAAGCTGTTTTAACTTTGTTTTAAAAGGGGAAGATGTTTAGTAAATCACCTTGTTTCATATTGTTGTATAGTTTAGGATTGTTGTATGTTGTCAGATTCTGACTTAATCAATTTTAATAAAAACATAAGTTATTATAAATTGTATAATAAAACAGGTAGCACGGCCTGAGAACGCACACGTGTGGTCGATTTCACACGCATATGAGTAGCATAGCCGTGCGCGCCCACGCGATGAGCGCAGTATGAGCGACGTTATTAATGATCTCTTACACTGTACTTATCGGCAGTGATGCCAGATCCTATCAAAAAAACAGTAGATTTTTTATTCACCTTATAATTACAAAAATGATACAATCAATAATAATGAAACAACGTAAAATTGCAATTTGCTTTGTTTCACTAGGTAAGTTCAATTAAAATGACATGCATCATCATCGATTTTTAATTTTTTGTGCTATCGCTGACTCTATAGGTCAGTACGTACCATAAAAGCAAATCGAACATATCATCCCTACGCGCTGCAAAAAATTAAAAAAGTTATAGATATTACACCTTATGTAATTAACTGTATGTGCACCAACAAAACATGTTTTATTGTGAATTACAATAAACTTGGCTTCATGGGCGCCGGAAGGAATTCGTCTAGGGGGGGGCCCTTAAAGTTTTTTACAAGTTTGATAGATGTTATTTATAATCAAGTTGTACTGTAGAAGTTCACATTAAACTTAAGCCAAATAAAATATCATCCTTATATGTATATTTACCTATTTATTGATATTAGTACATATTGCAAAAAATACATTTTTGGTAAATATATAAATATAAAAAAATTGTATCGCCGAGGAATCTCTAGTACAGCCGTCTTAAGTATACGCTAGGGTGTTTCATTTAAAACGAACATTTTTTTTTTCTTGCTGACACATGAAAATTTTGTTTTTTAGGTTGGAAAAAAAATTCCCTGAAAATTTGAGCCCTTAATTTTGATTCTAAGTACTTCCTTTTTAATTTTGTAGTTTTTCCATATAAAAAGCATGTATTTTTAATCATTTTTACTTTAAATTTCTATATTTAGGCCGGGTTTTGAATTATAATTTTTATCACCATAATTTTCTGCATAGTATTCACGGTTTTTGAAAGGCCCTGCATCAATTTTGTTTTTGATTTATTTACGTTGGTTGTATACTATAGTAGCTCCAAAAGTCGTTTTTTCACTCTTTTCACATATTTTTGAGAAAATCGAGCGAATGACTGGTTTTACCGAAAAAGTTCAAATAAAAAAGTTGTAGAAAATTTAATTTTTGACAAAAAAGGTTTTTACTTTCATATCACTAAAGTGCTTTGTTTAAGAGATATAAGGAATATATAGTTGTTTAATCAAATTACATAAATTTCAATAAAACCACAGACCTGTGAATAAAACCTATTTTTTCTTTGTTTTTGGTTATTGAATTGCTTATATCTCTTAAACAAAGCACTTTAGTGATATGAACGTAAAAACCTTTTTTGTCAAAAATTAAATTTCCTACAACAAAATTGATGCAGGGCCTTTCAAAAACCGTGAATACTATGCAGGAAATTATGGTGATAAAAATTATAATTCAAAACCCAGCCAAAATATAGAAATTTAAAGTAAAAATGATTAAAAATACATCTTTTTTATATGGAAAAACTACAAAATTAAAAAGGAAGTACTTAGAATAAAAGTTAAGGGCTCAAATTTCCAGGGAATTTTTTTTCAACCTAAAAAACAAAATTTTCATGTGTCAGCAAGAAAAAAAAAATTTCGTTTTAAATGAAACACCCTATACAAATTATGTAACTATACGCTATACAAATTATGTTAAATTAAAATATAATGAACAAATGATAACGATCAGCACTTAACGTCAAATTATGGAGTACCGGAATTTCTGGGTATGAATTTCCAGGGGGGGGCCCGGGCCCCCCCCTGCCCCTATGTAGCGGCGCCCATGCTTGGCTTATATTGTAAACATTGCTTCTGTTTTGTTATAAGCCTTATAACAACACAGAAACAATGTTCATAAATACTTTTATTTGTGTTTTCTTTCAAAATAACCAAATTCAACATGTGTTGAAAGTTTTATTAAGTCAGAATAACTCTTCCAGATCTCCAAATCTTGCTAATAGTCTGACTTAATAAGTCTTATTCCGACTAAATAGGTCTTATTCTGAGTTTTTAAGAGAAAGTACTTTCAAAACTCTTATTTTTACTTATCAAAAGTTTTTCTTAGATCGCATCCAGGTAATTTTTGATGACCCTTAAATTAGTGCATTGTGTAACTCAAGGAAATATATAATCAGGATAGTCGACTTCCTATACTCGGCCATGTACAAAAACGTGCAGTATAGACTCAGAGCACACTCGATTTTTGACTGACCAATCAATTCGTTTAATTTGACCTTTGTGGTAAAAGGAACACGGCTAGCCGCGGCTATTGGAAAGAAAATAATACGTCACCAGAAAGCAACGCCAAGAACCAGAAATCTATACAGCACGCTTTTTCAAAGTAGTTGACTATTCTTCCCAAACCATATTTGGCGTATGTTGGCCATTTTCAATGTTTGGATATGGATCATCCAAGCTTTTGAAGAACTCCAAAGGAACCTAAGCTGTTGCTAATGTCAGCTAATAGTAGTAATGTTATAAAAGGATGACTAACAACGATTGAAAAGATCAAGATCACAAGTTTATACCTCTTTATGTCCATGAAGTCAACATTTGACACATAATTTGTGGCATATTGGTAGTCTAATTGGATTACGAGGTATTTAAACTATATGGAACTATACAGAAGATACACACCAGAAAAATATGCTCAAAGACTACTTTGTGCAATACAACTCCGAGCCCCATATCCGTAACTGATCCGTGTAATACCATCATTAATTAGTGATGCGCAAATAGTCGTGGAATTAAGTTGCAGTTCTAGTGTGTATTATCTGTGGATTTGATTTAATATTGGCAAATACAAGAAAAGACGAAAACAAAAACCTATTGGTATCCTGCAGCTACTATGGTAATATATTACCTACTGTTAATGTAAATCTAAGTATGTATTGTACTGGTATAAAAACTGTTACGATCGGACTACACAAAAAAAATCCCCACAAAAGTAAACATAAATTCTTTAAATGTAAGAATCCTGAGATCAATAAAATAGTACATATTAAAAGACCTAAACAAAATAATTTGGGAAAATATAAAAATAATACAAGATTAGGTTTTAATCACATGGTTGGGTTTGTTGCATAAATGGAGCATGCAACATATCAGTAAATTGAAGTGGCAACATGGTTGATATGTTTTGTTGCATTATTGTCTGATGACTTGGCATCGTGGCCGGAAAGTACGGTACTAATAGGCTCATCGGGTTACTGGCAGCTGAAAATATTTTTTATAGTAACTTAATATTACTACATTAATTTAAGATACAACATTCAATAAATAAAACACAATAATTAATAAATAAGTATAATTAAACGTGGTGATAGTTTATTTATTTAATTGTGCTAACAGTTTCTGTTTGTTTATGGCGTGTTTTAGGGTTTTTCTTGTTAAATTCGGCGACATAAGTGACGTAAAAAACGTGTTAATAATCATAAACAATGGTTATTGTGTTTGAGTAAGAATCAGAACGTTGAAAATGTGCAAAATGTGAACCAATAAATGGCGTTGAATTAAAGAATTTAAGCACATTTGTAGGTTATGTCAAAAGGGTAAGGTAGCGTGCTGTTTTATTAATCGACGCCATTCTTCAATTCATTTTAACACAAACACATAGTAGCAAGGAATTTTTTGGTTTACTTTCGGCACAATTATTGTTTTTGAGTAAGCACGAAGAGAAGCGTAATCAGAAAGTTGAAAATGTGCCAAAGATTAATCAAAAATGGCGTCAAATTAAAAGAAGTAAGCACATTTTTAGATTATGTCGAAAGGGAAACGTCAAGACTCAGATTATAAGAGTTAAAATAACAGATAAATAGGCAAGGTAGTGTTTTGTGCAAAAACACAAACTTGGTAACACGTAGAAGCAATGCCATATTTTTATTCAATATGGCGTCGAATTAAAGAATTTAAGCATATTTGTAGGTTATGTCGTAGGGGAAACGTCAAAGCATACTATAAGAGTCAAAACAACAGATAAAAGGCTGTTTTATTAATCGGCGCCATTCATTAAATCATTTTAAAGCAAAAATACAAACTTGGTAACACCTAGAAGCAACGCCATTTTTTGGTTCACTTTCAGCACACTTCACTACGCCTGTATGGAATAGGCGTAACGCATCCATTTGTTTTAATTGTCTAAGGTAGGGTCCCCAACTGTCCCGGTTTGACCGGGATTGACCAAGAATTAGAAAGTATGTTCCGGTGATTCCTTTGTCTTTTCCAGAATCCTTCATTTGCTCAAATTTAATAATTATAGTATCAAATTTAATAACAATTAATTAATAAACTTATATCGAAAACTCCACAGTTTAAGAAATACACGGTGTTGAAGTTGCATATATTTTTTTTTAAATTAATAATTTCCTAAAAACTTTAAATTATTAAGTATGCTTATTTTAAAAATGTGGAAACATTTTTTTAGATATTTGGCGTACCTTTTTTTCTCTACAAAGAAAATGGCACTGCTTGTACTATAAAAACGAATTTAATGCATAACTATATTATCTAATAAAAAAAAAACAATAATCACGAAATTTCAATAAAATATGTTCTTTAGTTATGAATTTTCTATATATTTACTAAAAAATTAATATTATTTTAAGGTTTTTTATTAAAAAAAATGCAATTTAATTTCGCCTTAAAACTGGAAACCGGAACTACCAAACTATAAGTTGGGAACCCTAGTCTAAGGTGTTTGGTTGTGTATAGTTCAAGCGTATTTTATAAAAAATAAACACTTATGGTTAGCTTTGTAGCGTGTGGATTTTCAACGACTACTAATCATAACCTTTGGTTTCATTTTATTTTGTTAAATCTACAATGATTTTATTGTCCACTGTCAAAGCGATAACGCTTGACCGCCATATGCATTAACTATTATTACATGGAGGCTGTAGCCTACAGGCTGTAGGCTCCATGTCTAATCCTACTATATACACATTCCTGTTGTTTTTTATTCTAAGCCTTTTATTGTAAACTGTGACTAAACTGCCAACGCTAAAATGCAGTGTATCCAACTTAAGGAACACAAATTTAAGTAAAAAAATGAAAGTGCGTGCACAATCCACACAACAAGGTCTGTTTTATAGTCGCGGCCAAATCTGCATTGGCAAATGACGTCAGCGTTAATGTCTATTCATACGTACCCAGCCACAATCTAACTAAGATGGAATTATAACATCATTGTTATAATCTACACTAACTAATTAGGAGTTTGTTACGGGCAATTTTTGATTTAATGTGTTTAGAGAGGGAACAAACGGAGTTTATTACGTATGTACATAACAAAAAATACTAAATTACCAGTCGTCAGAGCAAACCAGGCCAGCCTTGTAACATTGTTTGCACAATCCAGTGGTAGAATATGATAAACACAATGTATAAAATTATTTATAAAAATCTGCGAAAAACTGTGCTTACGGACGAAATGTCAAAATTACAAAAAAAAACGTCAAATATAAACGGTGACCCATCAATAATATTGAACGGTGCGCACCAGCCTTAATCTATTGGCAACACAAAAATTACCAAGTGAATGGTTTTATTTTCATAATTTCGTAAAAAAAACGTTTTAAAACAGGGAAATTCTTACAGTTCTTGGTAAACAATACGCAAATGAATGCATGAATGAATGATATTTTTATAACACATCCGAATTACGCTTTAAAAAAGCAAATTTAACGGCTGTAACTTTACAATTCAAAGTTGGTAATGCTGACGTCATTATATCGCATTGATCACGTGCACCCATAAAGATTTGGCCGCCATTGGCCACTGCCATTTTTATGTTGTTTATAATTCTTGTGCTTTGGGTTTGTGTTGTTTATGCAGAATAAAAATCGTTTTCAACGTTGTGTTTCTTATGCCGGTTTTCCACTAAACAAACAGTTGAGTTTGGGTTTTGTTTGTGTTTTTAAAAACTTGCAAATCAAAAACAAAACTGAAACAAACCCGAAACTCTTGTTTCCATCAAGCAAACTAAGTTTTGTTCGAGTTTTGTTTTTGTTTTCGGTCCTTTTCCACTAGTTGTCGTGATTATGTCAGAACACACTTTTTCGGTATCAACCAACATGTTTAGAGAAAAAGATTTTCTTATTCTTAGTTGTGGCTGGTTTATACTTCTTCGTGAATAACTTTTGAAGAATTAAATTTAGGCAAAATTGTTAAGAGACCTTTTTTGTAGAACATTAAGAATCCGACGTGAGCTTTTTTAAATATTCATTGATTCATTAGTTACAAAATTTCAAAGTAAAAAGGGCAAATCGAAAAAACACATCGATTTATTAAGCTCAATTACTCGGAAACGGCTCGTCTGACGAAAATTTTCAATCAGACCTTTTTTGTAGAGAATTTAATTTTATATAAAAATAAGTGAAAAGGAATTTTTTTCACTTCAATGTTTTGACAGTTCTAACGTAAAACATCAAATTATGACTAAATATCAAAAATAGCGATGATAGACCTCTTAACCGCTCAAATTTTTTTTTGTTATTCTGAATGACATTTTCGATATATTTTTCAAAAAAAAAATAGTAATTTTTTTTGGCCCAGCCTAATACCTATATATACGTGTATATAATATATATAATACCTATATATATGTGTATCTATTAAACTTATCCAGCGTTACAAAACAAATTCTCTATCCTCTATCTATAAAATAGTATATTATAGACCAGGGGGAGAAAGCTCATATTATAGCAGAGCACACATTTCACTGCCGAGGCGCCGCGGCGCGCCGCCGAGGCAGTAGATTGTGTGCGAGGTAATTAATAAGTTTTCGCCGCCGTGTTTTATATACTATTTTTTTCAAGCTCTAAATTTCGATATTTTTTTGAAATTTTGTAACCTCATTTTTAGGTTAGGTTTAACTGTCAGACGACAAAATGTCACCATCATTGTTCGGCGGTCAATAATAATTTGACTTTTGAACTAGTAGTCACTACATTATTGTACTAGTTCAAAAGTCAAATTATTATTGACCGCCGAACAATAATGGTGACATTTTGTCGTCTGACAGTTAAACCTAACCTAAAAATGAGGTTACAAAATTTTAAAAACCTACATTATAGTATTTCTATATAGACTTATGAGGAATATAATATGAATATTATTATACACTTGGAAAAAAATATGTTTTTCTACTCCTATTGCGGAATTTGACCCTTCTAATATCAATTTTATCTATGGAATGACATATATTCCGTAAAGTGTTACAGAATGAAATATTCTATCATCTGATGATAGAATGAACACTCGTGGCGACATCTCTGTTTTTAATATCTAACAAATTTTAGACCGATCCAATCTCACTTTCTTCCAATTAAATTATTTTTCTATGATATTTTTTGGAAACGTAGAAAAGGTATAGTCTGAAACACGTTTGAATTGCATATTCCGCTCTCGTGAAACCGTCAAACTCGCCTTCGGCTCGTGTGACAAACTCTTCACTCGAGCGGAATATGCTGTATTCCAAACATGTTACAGAATATACTATTCTTACTTACCTACCAATTTAGTATGAAATTCGTATCCAGACTAACAAAATAAAATAAAAGTCGAAAACAAAAAACACAACACGACCGTTTCCACTAAACAGACTCGAGTTTCAAAACACGTCGAAACCTTTTGATGTTACCGCTTTCGAGCGGGACTCGAAAAACAAAACTCAAACTGTCGCAAAACACGCCAGTCTTCAAAAAGTTTGCAAAAAGTTGCAGTTTTGTTTTATTCGACACGAGTTTGTGTTTTGTTTTTGTTTTGTCCGTTTGGTGGAAAACCGGCATAATGCACTTGTAAGACTCAAATGAGGCCTTAAAGTGCTAAGAACAACCATTTTACTCCTCTTTTGTAAAAAATAAACTTTCTTCTATCAGGGCTGTCATCAAACTGTCAAATTTAAATTTGTTGGTTAAGGTAAATTAACCTTAAAATTGAAATTCGACGGCCTGATTTATATATAGGTATAAGGTATACGGTTTATTTTTACCAAAAGAGGAGTAAAATGGTTGTTCTTAACACTTTAAGGCCTTTTAGTATGCGCGAAACGAGATAAAACAGACGTTGTGTGGATTGTGTGTGCGTGGTACAGTTGAGTTGCTTTGCGTTTTGTGTACACAAGACGTTATATCCGACTGCCGCGCTAGTAATAATAAAGTAATAATTCAAAACGAAACTTTTTAAAATGACTTACATGCAATATCAATCTGTTGCTGAAACCCGAAGAAATCGTCCATCGTCGGATAATTGAGCCCCTCCTTATCGTCCATAGGAACGACGACGGCAGACGAGGGAAACGCTGGCTGGTCCAGCGTCTTAATGGGCACCACTTGTTCAGTGGTGCTTGGCGACGCTAGCGGAAGGACCTCCTCTTTCGGCACTTTGGACGGTGGAGGCGCCGCCGGCGGTTCGAGGCCGAGGCCCGTTATGTGATCGACTTTGTGACGACGCCGAGTGTGCTTCAGCCAGTTCGGGTAGTTCGTGAACGTTCGTTCGCAGTACTTGCACTTGTACGGGCGCTCGCCAGTGTGGATGTTGTAATGTTGCTAAAAAATAACAGCAAATGTGATATGATACTCATAAATCGCGGGTTGAAAATAATTTATACTAGAAATACAATTTTAAAAATCTATCACACTTATATAAACCAAGTAAAATATTCTTTTGGAATTTATGTTTATTGTTGGGGCATTGTTGTTACGTTTAAAAATAATCCAACGAATACCATGAGGGATCGATAAATAATTCTCCAGATCTTTTATCAAGCCTTTTGCATTTGGCAATACACTCGAACCCTTCGGGCTTCGCTCCACATTATGAGCCACCCGATACTTTTAATATCGGAAAACACGGCAAATTTTTGTAAACCTTAAAATACTTTTTTTTAAACGTAAATATTTAATTTTCCATTAAAAAAATTTCAATCCTTTTTTTTTACGTAAATATTTAATTTTCCATTAAAAAATTAAGTTTTAAATGATCTGGATCCAAAAATAAGTAGGTGTAAATGTTACCATAAAAGCATAAATAAACACTTTTTAATTTGGTGGTGACATTTTGTGAGCTGGTGAATTTTTTGCAAAAAAAGCGTCAACAATTATTCAGAAAATGTTTTGCTGGCGTATTTCTTAGAACTCACAACCGTCAGAAAAATTAAATCTTCTACAATGTGGTCACAATATTCAATGATAAAATCAGTACTGTGTGATCCAATAATCAAATGATTTTTAATTTAAAAAATGCTTTTTTAGATAATTCAGGTATTTTTGTAGTGAACCTTCTTTCGGCACGGTAGACCAAAATAATTTCATGGGACTTAAGACTACAACGCTGCAAGTTGTAGCCTGCAATAATTGTTAGCCACGCCCATTATCAACTTAAAATTGGATCGTTTTTTCGATCGTGTGATTCATGCTCGGTGACTTCCTAGACGCTTGTACAACACCACGCGTGGTGTATATAATGCTCGATGTAACGTGGCCACGTTACATCGAGCATATACAGGTATTTCCTCGCTACAGGCCGAACGTTCGCGAGCTGTTCGCGAATAGTTTGCGAAAACTTTTCCGAGCTTAGTGTGTACGCGAGTTCGCGAACAGTTCTAGTCGGTAACTGAATCATCTTTAATAAAATGATGCGTTAGCTGTATTATACAGCTAACGCATCAAAGCATCATTCGGTTTGCGTAATTATTAAGTTAATTTACTTTACAGCCTGTGTAAATAAAAATACGGTATATTTACAAAGTAAGGTATAGTAAGAGTATTGTATACTTCTTACCTAAAACCTAAATTTAAAAAAATATATACGCGCAGTAATTTTAAATTTGCACAGTAGCATAAATATAAAAAATGGTAAAACAAATTTGCACAGCAGTTTAAAATTAAAAAGTGGTAGGATAAATTCGCACAGTACCTAATTTAAAATTTTAAAAATGGTGCTGTTTTATCAATCGGCACATTTCTTTAAATCCTTCTTAAAATTATTTTCACGCAAAAACACAATCTTGGTAACAACTCGAAGCAACGCCATTTTTTCGTTCACTTTAGGCACACTTCATTACGCCTTTGGGAAATATATAGGCTTTACGCATCCATTTGCTTTAATTGTCAAGGTAGGGCCCAACCGTTCCGATTTGACAGGAATTGACCTCAAATTTAATAATAAGAGTATAAAATTTAATAACATCCCAAAATAATTTTACAAAATCCTTATAAAATCAAAAAATGGTAGAAATTACCTAATAATATTAATTTTCTTAATAAACTTATATCGAAAACTCCACAGTTTCAGAAATACACGGTTGCATATATTTATTATTATTATTATTATTAATATGCTATCATTGGCGTACCTTTTTTTCTCTACAAGGAGATATTATTACCCCCGTAGTGACTGCTTGTAACGAATTTAATGCCCAACTATGTTACCTATTAAAAAAAAAACAATAATTACCAAATTTCAATAAAATATGTTCTCTAGTTTTCCATATCTTTGAGTTTTCCATATCTTATTACGAAAATTAATATTATTTTAACGTTTTTTATTAAAAAAAAATTAATGTCCCTTTTGGAACACAATGCATAAATGCAATTTAGTTGCGGCTTACGGCTGGACACCCCATAAGTCGATATTTCCCGGAACTACCAAAATACAGGGTGTTATGTAATTAATGTAATATATTAAAATACTGAAAACCTTTTGACATAAGGTGTAACGGAAAATTATTTAAAAAAATATTTTCCCAAAGATAAAGAAAAAATATGCATTATTATTTTATTCGTATTTTTATTATATTTGTTGTGATACGCAACTGGTTACACACTTATTTTCTGTGAGTACATAGATACCAACTAACAAAGTAGCTGCGCGATCCCAGTTGTAAAAAATTGTTACCTACTTAAAATTTTTCTTGCAAAAAATAAATAAAAACTCAATAAATACAAAAGTTGTATGCCCTTAAAGCTCTAATACCCCCTGAATTCATTTACTCATCCAGCTATTAGCTTAAGCAATGATTAGAACAATTAGTACCTATTTTAAAACTCCATGACCACAAAATTGATTTTTTTATCGGTTTTTTTTATTTCTGTTTACTAAGAGGAAATTAGGACAAGTTCACAGGTTAAACATTCAATTTGTGTAAATAAATCCAAAAGCACTTCCCTTAGTTAAGATATTTACAATTTGAACACATAACCTAAAATTTGAAAGAAATGCACTAGATTCTGTCATAAAAGTTGCCAGATTTTGTTTGAATTTACCTTCATTACAAAAATGACATAATAAACAATAAATAAAAACGCCAAATTAACAATCTGCATTGTTGATTTTGTCATTTTTGTAATTAAGCTAAATTTAAACAAAATTTGGCAACTTTTTTGACAGAATCTGGAAACGCTGGTTGTTACCAACCATAACATAATAAATTATATAAGACAACCAGATTAGCCTAAAGTTCCTAGTCGATCAGTGGCGTACTTTTTGGTGGGATAAAAGGTTATTATAAATTATTTTTAGTCTTTAGAATTTAGGAACTACCCATTTTAATATATTACATTAATTAAATAACATCCTGTATAAGTTGGGTACCCTAGTCTGAGGTTATTGTGTTTGCGTTGTGCATAATTCAAGCGTTGTGCATAATTCAAGCGTTTGGGTCGGCGTTATTAAAAACCAAAAAGTCTAATCTCCCAGTTCCAAGCGCCCCTAGCCCTCTGGGCGTATAGTGCGGTCACTAAAACCATTGGCATGTCTCTTACGAACCCCAAAAAGAGTAACGGGCAAACTGTAGTGGTCATCCCCATACAACAAACACAGGTGAAGCTGTGTAGTTGTTGGGTGCGGAAGAAATTGAGAGGATCCCCATCCGCTTCTGCAAGTGTCCTATTGATATCTGTTTCCGTTTCTTTTATGCAAACTTATAAATACATTTTCCTTTGATACAAATTGTATAATAAAATAATCATTTAAAATCCTGATAATAGGTGCGTTCTTTTCGCCTGAGATCTCAGCTCAATTCAGTTAATGTGATATGAGATGTAGTGATGTGAGTAAGCATTAAAAAGAACAACAAAATCAATTGAAACGCGCAATCTGACGGCGCATACGTGAATAAGAGGCAACATATTTTGTTTAATTTTATTGTAAAAAGTGTTTTTCTAGTTCTGAAAAACAATTTTATTCGAATTTTATTTATTATATTAAGTTTATAGTCAATTTACAAAATTTAATTATATTTATGGAAATTTAAGTTTTAATGCAAAAAAAAAAAATTTAAATAATAATTTTAAAAATCTTCACTTTTACTTTCTTTGTTTAATTATATTGTAAAAAGTGTTTTTCTTGTTCTGAAAAGCAATTTTATTCGAATTCTATTTATTATATCAAGTTTATAGCTAATTTCAAAATTGAATTATTTTTATTGAAATTAAGTTTTATTGCAAAAAATCACCTAAATAAGATTAGGTTATGTTATTTAAAAACTTAACAAATCAATTAATGTCTTTATCCCCTCCACTTTATTTCCGACTTAATTTAACAGCATGTGCAGTAGCGGTGAGGGGGGAAGAAAAATCTCAGCTCACTTTATGGTGAGTGAAGCAAAAAGAACGCGCACATTTGCAAATTTTACCGATGTGAGCTGAGATTAACTGAGATCTCATGTGAAAAGAACGCACCTAATGTATCAAGTTTTATAAAAGCCATTTTAGTTACGAGTTTTATTAGAAAATACAAACGGCCATAAAAAAAATTCGAGCTAACTTTTACAAACCCAGCGGGAGTTTTGATATTGGATAGGTATATTTTCAGAAAAAAATCGTCCGGTGCGGTTTGATTTCGATGACCCGAAAATTGTCGCACAGTGTAATAAAGCTAACTTCAGCTCGTCAATGTAGGCGTAGATAATAGTATATATGTATCAAGTTTGACAAACGCCATTTTATACACGAATTTAATTTAGGCACGAGCGAGCTTGCGAGCGAGTGCTTAAATTAATGAGTGTATAGAAACGTTTATAAACGATGTGCATACTATACTTTTTCTACGACAAATACTTATTATTATCATCTTAAATTGATTTAAATCAAAAATTTATATAGAGCGCCATCTATGAAACAATAGGGGAATCTGTGTGTCACCGTCAAATGTCACATTTTATAGTTTATAAACACAGATTATAAAGGTTATAAATCGAAATGTATTTTTGATAATTGACTGTTTTCACAGTGAAAGTAAAGAAAATGTTTTATGAGGACTTTACAGTGGAGTCCGTCCCGTAAGTTATAGTTTACTGCCGGCGAAATTAAAAGGTCAGTGCGATGTTCATATAAACTTTTCAAATATTGGCGTTGAGCAAGATCACGTCAAGTGGACCCCCCATTTTCCACTTGGTAATAGAATTTAAATTTTAATACACCAATCGTTAGTAGTCATTAGTAACAATATTTCCTTAAATATATATATTTTTTTAAATTTTAACAGAGTTTTTTTGTAACAAAGATTTTTCTCACTTTTAATTAAAAAATTAATTGTGAAAAAACTGTTAAAAGTTTTCTAGTGAAATTTTCAGGACTTATAGGCTAATATATGTATTTTTATAAACAAATAAAAAACTTTTCTTTTTTTTTAAATTTTTTTATACTTTTTTTGATCATTGAAATATACAATTCAAATTTTTGATAAAGTCTCTATCAAATAATCAAGTTTTTTTTTCATGGTTACATGTACTGGATATTAAGGTTGGGTTGGGTTGGGTCACGTCAAGTGGACCCCCCATTTTCCACTTGGTAATAGAATTTAAATTTTAATACACCAATCGTTAGTAGTCATTAGTAACAATATTTCCTTAAATATATATTTTTTTAAATTTTAAGAGAGTTTTTTTGTAACAAAGATTTTTCTCACTTTTAATTAAAAAATTAATTGTGAAAAAACTGTTAAAAGTTTCCTAGTGAAATTTTCAGGACTTATAGGCTAATATATGTATTTTTATAAACAAATAAAAAACTTTTCTTTTTTTTTTTAATTTTTTTATACTTTTTTTGATCATTGAAATATACAATTCAAATTTTTGATAAAGTCTCTATCAAATAATCAAGTTTTTTTTCATGGTTACATGTACTGGATATTAAGGTTTCATATCCTGAAAAAAAATGTCAATGCCCGGCTATACTTTAAACATTATTAATTTTTTACTGCAAGGCTCCGCGCCTGATGAGTCGAAGCCGCGCTCGGCTGAATTGGTTTGAATGCTTTGTTTTTATTTGATTTCAAAATATGACATCCATTTTAATATTTTTATTAGTAAATATACCGCCGACAAATATTTTACAATTATTTAATCAATAAAATAAATGAATGAATTAATTAATGCAGAATATTTTTATTAGCTATCGCAGGACTTTTCTTTTTCCATAAAAACAATATATTTTTTTTGTTCTAAGCGTTTTTTAAATAATATTTATTAAATTTTATAAATGCTGTAATCCATTAAATAAGAAAAATCACCAAAGTATAAGGAAAAACATTATTTTAATTACAGCAAATGTAGCTGATGAATTTAAAAGTTTTATCGGGTTATATTATTTATGTGACGTCGTCAGATATACGGTTCTTCTAAGTTTTTCGGGATCAGCAGATAAGACCTGAAGATGGTACATGAGATTGTAACGAAACGTCGTCAGACATGCGATTCTTTAAAGAACCAAAAACCGACAACACGGAGCAGAAGTTTTTTATTTGTATATACAAATATACATATATGGGGCAAAACACCTCAAGTGTTCCAACCTAAAAATGATATTTTCTCCGAATTTATCAAAACTTTGCCAAATCATTGTCCTATTGGACCAGAGTTGGGAGTACTTAGTATTTTTTTAATGGATTATGCTATCATTACTAATTATTACTTGATTTTATAATTGTAATGAGAGAAAAATATTGAGTACTTTTTATTTTTACTTTACCAATTTGATAATTACAATTTTTTTTTTATTTTGTAATTATAATCAGAGAAAATATCAAGTACTTTTTATTTTAACTTAAAATGTTCTGATGTTCTGATTCTAAATATTTTTTTATTTTATAATTAAAAGATAATAATAATAATAATAATAAGAACAGAATACATTGTATTTTTTTTTTTGATTTGATTAGAATGATGAATAAGGATACTTCCGTGCTTGTTTATGTTTTTATTGCGACTAGTTTCGATCTATATTAGATCATCTTCAGGCAAACTACAAAAATATGTAAAATTATTATAAGGTTATGTTAACATGATAATGATAAAATTAATAGTTTAAAGTAACAATACAATGGTTGATAACAAATATTAAATACTTACATGTCAATAATTAAAATATTTGTAAAAAGGTTTATCAATTATATTAAATATATGCATAAAGATAGTTTTAGATTCTGATTAAAATTATTTACAATGACTTGAAGGACGATGTATTCTTGGTACTTGTATTTTCATTTATATTTTAAGTACAATCAATTTTTTACTTTGACTTTAAACTTTTTGCATTACGAAGTACTAAAAAATATTATTTATTCAAATTAATAAGTACAATTATTTTTGTATTTTTACTTTAAATCAATTTAGAGTAAAAAAGACAATGTATTGATAATTTTTATTTTCTCCATTCTCAAGTAACTTAAATATTCTAATGGCAATACATGTACTTCTAACAAATTTAAAATCTTTGGCGCTTGTGTCGTTTTGCCTTAAACTCATCGATTTTATTGCAATAGTTCAAATTAATAGCAATTAAAACCCATGTTTTGGTTTTTGTACTCGAAAAAGAAAAATGTAGAAAGTAATAAGTTGCTCTTACTCTGAATAAATTATACGTGCACTTAAATGTAAATAAGTTCTACTATTTAATGCAATTGCAAGTGTCTCACAATAATAATACACATTTTTCATGAATACTTTTTATTGAACATTTTACCTATTTTTTATTTTTGGGAAAGGTACAAAATTCCTTTTCCGTTAGGAACAAATGAGTGATATTTCTGTGTCCCATTTTGCAGAATCAAATCGCTTCTTAAGAATTTCTGCTGTTATCATATGATATTTTTCAGAATGAAAAATACTTTTGTTTCTTTCAAACCTTTTTGAGCCTATTCATACAAATCTTTGGCATCTAGAATTGGATTTTTTGATTTTGCCTGCAAATTTGCGCGGGCAGCGAGTCTTTTTAAATTCCTACCAATGCCATCAAAGAGGCCTTTACCGTGTGCTGTTGCATTAAAGTGCCACTCGGGTGAAATACCAAAATCTGTTTCATATTGCATAACATTTTTAAAGTTGTACTTGTTTTTGAAATGTTGTGCGGCGTAGTAAAATAAAAACATTTTTTAGGTATAAAATTTTGTTTTAAATAATTCATCAAAATTTTCTGGAATTCATAAACTGCGACAGTGTCATGCTTTAGGCAATCCGATAAAATTGCTGCACTAAAATAATGAAGTTTTTCATTTACCTTGTAATAAATGATGGTTGTGAAAATCGTAACATGGTCATTATTCCAATGAAATGACTGAGCCGCATGTTGTACTACAAATGCGTAATTTTCAGCGAAGTCGCACAATACAAGAAATTCTCCAGTTTGTAAATTATTCTTAAAAAGCGATTTGATTCTACAAAATCAATTCCTGGGAAACAGAAATATCACTCATTTGTTCCTAACGGAAAAGGAATTTTGTACTTAAAAAAAAATATCGTTTGCTAACAAATATATTTTTCCTAAAATAAAAAATAGGTAAAATGTTGAATAAAAAGTTTACATGAAAAATGTTTATTATAATTGTGAGACACTTGCAATTGCATTAAATAGTAGAACTTAATTTATTCAGAATAAGAGCAACTTATTACTTTCTACATTTTTCTTTTTCGACTACAAAAACCAAAACATGGGTTTTAATTGTTATTAATTTGAACTATTGCAATAAAATCGATGAGTTTAAGGCAAATTTTAAATTTGTTAGAAGTACATGTACCTGCAGGTCGATAGAGAATTAAATTAAATTAAGACCTTCTTCTAAAAAAAAAAAAATTTGGCGCTTGTGCTGTTTTGACTTAAACCCTTCGAAAAATCCATTTATTTCTATATAAAAATAATTTTAAAAGTTGTATTGACCCCGAGGGGTCAACCACTGCCGGCAAAAAAAAAAAATTGGCGCTTGTGCTGTTTTGACTTAAACCCATCGAAAAATACATTTATTTCTATATAAAAATAATTTTAAAAGTTGTATTGACCCTCTCCAATTAATCCACTAAGTAGTAGACCGAGCACCGCTGCAATAGGTATACTATAGTAGATGCTCGCCGCACGATCCCTACGCGCTTCAACCCCTATTTTGTTCGACTTATTCTTGGGATTCCATCTTCATATTACATCAAAATTTAGGGAATTGAAAAAGCTTTCTTTAGATATTAATTTTTAAAAAATCCAATATGTCGCATTTCGAGAAAAAAACAAATATATTTTTAAAATCGTTTTTTTTTTAACCAAAAAATTTGTTTTCGCTTTCAAGACCATTTTTATAGTAAAGCGTGGAAAAAATGCTATACGATAGGTTGATTATCAATTTAAAAAAAAATTATTATATACATGAATATTTCGACGTGTTTTAAGCGCACGAGAAAAAAAAATAAATTTTTAGGCCCCTGTAACTCTGCAACCCGCTAATCCTTTTTGCCCCCCATTTGGAAAATTAATAAGCAAAAAATGATTTGGCAAAGTTTTGTTAAATTCGGAGAAAACATCATTTTTAGGTGGGAACACTTGGGGTGTTTTGCCCCATTTAGCCTATAATTTCACTAGGAAACTTTTAACAGTTTTTTCACAATTAATTTTTTAATTAAAAGTGAGAAAAATCTTTGTTACAAAAAAACTCTGTTAAAATTAAAATTTAAAAAAAATATTGGAAATATTGTTACTAATGACTTAGGATTGATGTATTAAAATTTAAATTCTATTACCAAGTGAAAAATGGGGGTCCACTGGACGTGATCTGACTCCGTTGAGAAACTATTTAATACTTTTGTATTTTTGTATTGAGATAATAAAATAATTTTCACATTTAGTATTATTTTTTAACGATTGTATGACATTTGACAACTAACTTAAAACTAACTTCAGCTCGTGACTAAAAACCTGTTGCTAACTTCAGCCCGTGACTAAAGCGCCACAAAGCTACAACTTGTCAATGTGTATTTAAAAGGTCACTTAGTGTTATGGAAACATGTACGATAAATGGCGTTTTAAAGGAGTAGAAAAAATTATTTTTATATGAAACCTTACCTTTAATTTGGTACTGCTAAGAAACCCCTTGTTACAATGATCACAAACAAAGGGTCTCGCAGCCGCATGCACCAAACTGTGAACCTTTAAGCAACGCTCAGTCTTGTACATTTTTTGGCAAACTTTGCATTTGAACGGTCGTTCCTTGCTGTGAAAACTAAAGTGACGAGCCAAGTGGGACTTTTCCGCAAACCTAAAACATAACTTTTAGATAGGACCGTTCATTTTGCTATGATTGGACGTACGTTTTTCCGCACTGGTTGCAAACATGTGGTTTGTCCCCAGTATGTTGCTTGACATGTTGCTGCATATTAACTTTTTGGGTAAAAGTTTTTCCGCACACATCACACATAAATCGCCTGCCAAGTCTGTGCACGTTCATGTGAGACGTTAGGCCGCCTCTTGTATGCAAACTAAAACAAATTAAAAATAAGTTTCATCTAGAGTTGAGGACCTTGCTGCAAGAAGGATGTATCTGTCATTTTTGCTCATTGTGAGTTATCTACAAAACTATGTTTATTGCAAAAAGTATGAACAGAATTGTTTTTTTAATTTATTATAAAATGTCCAACAAAATACGTAACATAAACATTATCTATTATTACATCCTTTTACATTACAGGGTCTTTAAGTATAAACAAATTCTTACATTTTTCCACACTCCACACATGGATAATCCTCTTTAGTTTCAGTTTTATGTTTTTTTAAGTGTATTTTTAAACCAGGCTTAGTAACAAAAGTCCTGCCACATTCCTCACATACAAAAGGTTTGGATTTTGCATGTTTTGATAAAATATGCACTTGAAGCATACTTTTTAAACTAAAGGCTTTTGAGCACTCGTCACATCTGCAAGCATATTTTTATGGTTCAAAAATATCATGACTTAAATATAAGTTTTACATCATTGATATATATTGGATATTTTGATATTTATTTTTTGAATGATTACATATTATATTTGGTGTTTATTTTATACAAATATTATATAATATTAGGGTGCTTTTTTTTTCACGACTATTTTTTCGCTCCCAACTCAAAATTTTGTTGAAAATGTTCAAAAAAAAAAAATTCCCTGAACATATTAACTCAAAGTACTCGACCAAAGCGTATAAAGATTTCCCATTTAAAATATACGTAAACTTTGATTATTTTTTTAAAAATCTATATAAGGACAAACTTGTAGAAAATTTAATTTTCTTCAGTTGAATCGCTAAGATTGATATTTGTTGAGATTGAAAGCGTTTACATTGGCAATTTATAAAATTTTTAGGATTTTCATACCAAACTTTTTATAAATGATGATTTTCAATTGTTTATGAGTAATTGTATACAATTTCATCTAATTACGTTTTTTATACAGTCGGTTGATTAGAGAAAAATAAATAACTCAAACAATGAAGCATAATTATTAATAACATAACTTTAAAGAGAGAAGATAAATCTAACATAAAAATTGATATAACGAGGTGTATTACATACCTACATGTTATTTTATTAATAATTATGCTTGATTGTTTTAGTTATTTATTTTTCTCTAATCACCCGACTGTAGAAAAAACGTAATTACATGAAATTGTACTGATAAACAATTGAAAATCATCATTCATAAAAAGTTTGGTACGAAAATCCTGAAAATTTCATAAAATGTCAATGTAAACGCTTTATATCTCAAGAAATATCAATCTTAGCGATTCAACTGATAAGACCTTTTTTAAAGTAAATTAAATTTTCTACAAGTTTGTCTGTTACTTTTTTTCAAAGAATCCAGTCACTTTTAAAATATCTTCAAAAATATGATAATTTTTCACTAAAATAAGATTTAGTGACCCGTACCATCATACAGGTGCAGATTACAGCTATGACACATAAAGCATTTTTGTAGAACTTTTGATTACGAGCAAATCCCTTTTTGAAACAATCCAATAGCATAAAGTGCGGCTGAGATATAGATATTTAAAAAAAAATCAAAGTTTACGTGTATTTTAAATGGGAAATCTTTATACTCTTTGGTTAAGTTAATATTAAAGGCTCAAATTTTCAGGAATTTTTTTTTTTAACATTTTTAACAAGATTTTGAGTTGGGAGCGATAAAATAAAAATAGTCGTGAAAAAAAGCACCCTAATACCATATAAATATATATGTTTTATGTTTTATTTTAAAATGTTCAAATATGTTTATTAATATAAAAATTACAAATTCGAATATGACTCTTAATTTCCCATGAAAAAAATAAAAGTTAAAATAAATAATTATAAAATAAAACCGAATTTCTGCATCCAAAAAATCATTAAATGAAATTTAGGAGCATTTACTTGATCATATTATAAAGTTATCATTTAACAAACTGCCAATTTGCATAAGATTTTTTTTTATAATATGATATGATATAATACATAATATTATTATAATATAATATGTTTTAAATATATTATGTTATAAAATAAATAGTGATATGGCGTGACATACAGTCTTAACAAAATATTGTTGAAAAATTTAATATGTGGTAGACCTTCTAAAAATATTTTAAAAAATTTATATACCTTAAAAAAGTGCAAGAAATTACTTTAAAGCAAGCTTAAGCCTCTGTAAACCTCCTTTATATTATATATACATGGTGTTTCTTAATTGATGGCTGATACTGAATGGGCTCACTCTTTGAATGATTTTAAGGAAAACCTCTTTATTTTGAAGATAAAAATTCCACTCAAAACACAAAAATGTTAGGGTTAAATTTGTAAGTTTGGCAAATGTTAGGTATTTATATTAAATTTCACTCTTTTATCTGCTAGTTTTAAAAATATTTGGAAAAAAACATTTTAGGGGTTTGACTTTTAAAGGGTTATAGGCAAAGATAATACTAAGTTTGGTTTTAGGTCACTTAATTTTTTTAATTATGAGAAATTCTACCACCTGGTAAATTTTTAGATAACCTTTTGTTAATACTATGCATCTTTTAAATACATATAATTTTTTACTACATATAATTTTTTTACTACCTATATAAATTTTTAAAATATCAAAACTTACTTGAAACGCCCCTCAGTAATGTGCCTATAACAATGGGATCTAAAAGTGGAATATTTTTCTGAAGTTTTATTACAAAAAGTACAAGTATAAATTGGACTTAAGTTGTAAGTCATTTTATAATGTTGATCAAAAGCTAATTTGTATTGAAAAACTTTTTCACACATATTGCATTTAATACCCCAATGAGCACTCCATTCTTCTTTTACATTATCCATAATTTCATCACAAATTTTCTCACCATCTAAAAAAACATGTAGGTATAAATTATAAATTATCCTTTTAAATAAGTAAAAATTTAAAATTAAACTTAATAAACTTACCAGCCTCATTCTGCAAGTCTTTGAAAATATCCTCCTCATTTATTTCTGGCAAAATATCCTCCTCCATGGGATCAATCATGTTTCCAGATTTTCCCAAAAATAAATTTAAATTCGCCTGTTGCCCACTAAAACTTTCTAAGCCTAACGCAACGTCCAACTTATCTTGGGAAGACTCGGAACTATTTTGACTATTTTCCAATTGCACAGCCCGTTGAGGAACCAAGGCTTTTCTTTTGTTTCTTTTAACCTCGTTTTTAATTGAAGACTCAAAGTCTTCGCTATCACTATCATTGTTAAAGTCTATGTTAATATTGGCACTCATGAAACTTTCATCGTCACTGTGAAAATCATTTTTCATGAAATTATCATCAAGGAGTAGGTTTGGTATTTCTTCTTTCATATCCACCATGTGTTCAAAATATTCATTTTTAATTTCGTAATCTCCTGGAGATTGTAAATTCTCCTGAAAGTTCTCTAGATGTCTCATTTTTAATGTTGTTTACCCAAAAGTTAGGTTAGGATTTATTGGCGTCGTAAGTTAACATCTAAAAAATCATAGTAAATTAATAAATAAAATTTTTTACATAATATTACTATACCCATTAAATTTAAAGAATTGTTATTTACGCAATTACAAATGTATTGATTCATAAATTAATTAATGAATTACTTACCATATTATACTTTTTCAGTCATTTTCATAAAAAGTTCATTGCTTTATTATGTACAAATAATAATAAATACATACATTTATAAGGTCTTTTCTTAAAACTTACAAGTTCATTCGAAAAAGGAAACTTTTAGAGATAGAAGCCATTAACATTTTTAACCCTTTTCCCTATTCCGGTTATTAAAAGCTCTACGGCGGGAAATTTGAACGTAAAAATTTACTCGATGGGCCTTTACGCTAAAGAAGTATCGCTAGTAGCGCCACCACTCGGTTGTTATCATCGTAACAAAAGTATAACTTTTAATAATCAGCTGTCAAACGCTTTGGTTACAAAAGAGTGTTTTTAAGAATAAAGCCGGAAAAAAATATCGAAAAAAAAACCGTGGCTCGATTTGTTGTGTTGTTGGGTGTATTTTGAGAGGAAAACCTGGGTTGAGTTTTTACCGGTTTTCCAATAAACAGTGTTAATCTGAATGAAGAAATAAATTGCATACAGTCTCTGTAAATATAAATTATGCCTATACATAGGTATACCTACCTATTAGATACAACAAATACACATATGTGTACTAAAATATTTTAGTAGTGATCAGGCCCGTTCCTGGGGTGTCTGGCGCCTACTTGCAGCATTAGTTGGTGCGCCCCTTTTTAATTAAATATTTTAATTTTAAGCCCTTAAATTTAAAAAATATATATTTTGCGAAAAACTGGTAATATGTAATTGAAATTTTAAATTAACCGCGTAAATTAAGTAATATATATTACTTATGTATGAAAATTTAAAACAACCGCGTAAATTAAGTAGGTACCTAGGTATAAAAATAATTACCAAACAAACAAAATCACAAAAAATATTCAATTCATAATACTTATTCATATATTATATTATTCATATATTCATAATATTTATATATTATATTATTCATACAGGGTGGTCCAGGATTAATCTGAAAAATTTTAATGATCGATAGAGCCTGAAAAAACAATAAAAACAAACCCAAAAACATTTTTTAAAAATACACACTAACACACTAATAGCCCTTCAAAGGCAAAAAAACGTTTTTTTTTTTAATAACTTCTGCTCAAATTTTGTGTAGGTAAAATTTCTTACAAAAGGCCCAGCGGCGGAGATTTTGGGGGGGTTCCCCTTTTTACCCCCATATTTTGACTCCACTGCAGTGGTGTCAAAATGGATTTTATTGGAAAATAATCAGATTTCTTATTCAATTTAGAAGCAAAACTTGTGTGTTAAATTTTCATAAGATTAGTGGTTTCGGAGACTTTAAAATTTCAAAAACACCGAGTATTTTAAATCGGTAACTTGGTAACAATTATGCCACGTTATCAGTTTATAAAATATTTTAAAAATAAAGTAGCGTCCAGGAGTCATCGTGCAATTGTTAAGCTACATTCGTAATGAATTCGCTGGCCGAGTGACACTTTGGCACGCAAGTCGGCACGAAATTTACCATTCACAATAACTTTATAGTCGAATTTAACGCATGGACGTTGGTAACTGTCATGTTCTTTGTAAGGTTAGAATTTGCATTATTTTGTTTTTGCTTAAGCAATTGGTGTTATTTGTTAAATGCAAAAATGGACAACAATCAATCAAATAGTTTACTTATGTTGTGTAATAGTTTATTTAGTGATAAATTCTTATTAAAATGTGTTACAAAACACCAATGTTCACTTTATAATAAATAATAATAATAATAAAAAACTAGTATACATTAAGTTACATACATACATACATACATTTACATTAACAATGGGTAGTTTATTTAAATAAAGCAAGAAAAATGTATTTAATCACATTAAAAACACTACACATACAAAACTCAACGCCATTGAAAATGTCAAACCTTCATAACAAAGGCAATGCGCATGTCCCATAGCCGGCACGAAAGTCGAAGTTGAAGTCGAAGTTTGCAGCTTGCAAGAAATTTTGCCCACTTCAACTTCCACTTTAACGTCGAATTTCATTGTGAACGATCACACTGTTACACATTTGCTTAGCTTGCGAGTCAAATTGCCACTCGGCCAGCGAATTCATTACGAATGTAGCTTTACTGAACCCGTCATATTTTTAGGTTGTTTTATTGTAACGTTGATTGAGGATTACAATCAACGTCTGTAATTAATAATTTAATTGTATTATAATACAAAATCAAACCAACCCAAAAACCACCCTATTGAAAGCGATTATTCCATTATTTCATTGGTAAATTTTTATTGGCCCAATACAATCGTTCAGAAAAAAAATAATTTTTTATTACTAAAATAGTAACAAAAGTTCCGGGTACACAGTGTTTTTTTAAATTTTAAACTGAAATATTTATCTTCGAAACCATTGATCTGATAAAAAATAAACATAAAAGTTTTGCTTTTAGATTGAAAAAGGATAAAAATAAATCTGATGATTTTCTAATAAAATCCAGTGGCGTCGAAAATATGAGGGTACAAAGGGGAAACCCCTTCCAAAATCTCCGCCACTGGGCCTTTTGTAGGAAATTTTCATTATATTATCGACGGAAGCTTAACCTACACAAAATTTAAGAAGAATCGGTTTGATGGTTTAAAAATTATTTTAAAGGACTATATCTCCGTTAGTATGCATTTTTGAAAAATGTTTTTGGGTTTGTTTTTATTGTTTTTTCAGGCTCTATCGATTATTAAAATTTTTCAGATTAATCCTGGACCACCCTGTATACCTATTCATAATATTCATATATTATATTATATCACACAGAACACGCTATCCAATGGATATCCAATGGCTATCCCAATGTCCATATAACATCCATGCCTTTTACGATATCCATTGGATATCCAATGGATATCCATACTGCCCTGCTAAGACTAGTTGTCCTAAGTGAAAAATAACTAAAGATAAATATCCTAAGTGCATTATTTTAAACAAATTAATAAAGCTAACACGAACTTAATACTAAGTTATTAGTGATTCATAAAAATTTACTCTGACGTAGTTTCAGAAACAGGAAGATTCCTCCAAAACACAAGTCTGTTTTCAGGAATATGAGACTCTAATTTTTTAATTAAATTTTGTTTTCGCTCTTGTGTGATTCCTTTTTCAGAAATAACTTGCCATGGTTAGGCTGATCAGCCTCGATCTAACTCGAGTTAGATTATATTTATTAAACTTTGCAAGGAACACATCCTTTGCAACTTTTGCATCATTTAAAAAATCTGTTTTAAAACTAAAATATTTCAAACCTCGTTGAAAGTTAATTTGAACAATATCCTTTAAATATATGCGATCGGAGAGATTTTTGAGTTTACTTTTGGATGTATAATCTGTAAAACAAAAGAAATTTGGTAATGTCATTTCTATTACATTAACTTTGCCTGAATTAGCACTCTGAACTACATGTTTAAAATCTGTAAAGTCATATACTTTTTTCTTTCTTTTAAGGGATAATTCAACCTGGTGGTGGAAGGAATCCGCGGACATAAACGTATGTCCGGGTTCGAAATATTTTAGCTCTATATTTTCTACAGCTACCTCATTTGAATTTATTATATATATAAAAAATGATATTAGAGTCCAATTTTTATTTTGGCTGGCGCAGTTATCCAACCAAATAACAATATTTTTCATGTCTCGATTAGCAAGGATAAATGCATAAAACGTTGAAATGATATCATGCATTGACCTTCCCGCTACGGCTTCATGCCAGATTGCAGCCCATCCCTGCTTAAAATACCCCATAGAGACCAGAGCTGGGCAGTAATTGACTTGAAAGTGCTTGAAAAAGTGCTTCAAGCACAATAGTGCTTCGAGCACAGTGCTTGCAAGCACTTTTAAAATACAGTGCTTGGTAATTGGTAATTGAAGCCCTTTATAAAAAGTGCTTGGTAATTGGTAATTGAATTTCGCATTTCAAGCCATTTGAGTGCTTGCAAGCACTTAAAAGGCTTGCAAGCACTTTAAAGGGCTTGCAAGCACTAAAGGGCTTGCAAGCACTATCAGATTTGAGGGCTTGCAAGCATTTAAAGTGCTCCCGAGCACTTTAGACTCTAGAGGGAAATGCCCTTAGTAACAACCCTGTGGTTTCATCATCATCATCTAATGCGGTGTGCGGTGCAGCATAAGCTTTAATGTGATTGGTTGGTTGAAGGCCGACTTGGCCAGTACCTTTCTCCTTCTTGCAGATAATTTGTACTTATTTTTTGATGATTTCTTCACTTTAATTCCCTGCTTAAAATACCCCATACAAAATAATCTATCGGGCGCTACCGGATTCAATATGTGCATTTGTCCATGGTTTTTTCCGGATAAGGCCCGATAGAAAATTTATAGGAAATTACCTATAGGCACACCATAACTTTTACATTTTCCCTATAGAGACCGATAGAAAATAATTCAATGAAGGATATATAGGGATATCCCTATAGAACAATCATAAAACATTTGACAAAATTTTATTAAAACCTATGGGGTCCTATGGGGGAAATACTAATTTTTATATTTATGTGTATTTTCCCCATTAAAACCAATATCAAATAAATCAAGGGTGGATATCCCTATAGAACAACCATAAATCCCAACTATGGGTCCTATACATACCGATACACCCTATAGAAACACCATACATTCCGATACAAATATCTATCGGTTTTAACAGGGTCTCTATTTTAATATAACGATCATCCAAAAATGTTTCTTATTTTTAAAATAAAAATGTTAATTAATTGGGTAGGAAGCAATTGGAAAACTAAAAAGTGCTTGGTAATTGGTAATTTATTTAAGAAAAAAGTGCTTGCAAGCACTTTTTAAGTAATTGGTGCTTGGTAATTGAATTTTTCAATTACTTTTCTCGGTAATTGGTAATTGCAAGCACTTAAAGTTTTCAAAGTGCTTGATGCTTGGTGCTGGCAATTGCTTTTCCAAAGGGCTTGGTGCTTGGTGCTCGAAGCACTTTTTTTGAGTGCTTTGCCCAGCTCTGATAGAGACCTATACAGAATATTCTATAGGGCGCTACCGGTTTCAATATGTGCATTTGTCCAAGGTTTTTTCCGGATACAGCCCGATAGAAAATGTATAGGAAATTACCTATAGGCACACCATAACTTTTACATTTTCCCTATTGAGACCGATAGAAAATAACTCAATGAAGGATATATAGGGATA